CTTACATACACTACACTACTCGGTCAAGTCATACACTGCTGTCACCAGACAGCTACTTTGCAAATCCAATAGGCTTGGATGTAAGACCTCTTTACAGCCACAAATTGCAGGGAATTAAAGAAACAAAGCAGAACTTTGTACTCGAATGTATCAATAGTCAAATCTTGGTGCTACTAAGACATCTAGCTTGTGACACCTGAATTTAATATCCGAATATACGACAAACAGGTAGCCAGTTTAGGACTTTTATCGTCATTCACGATACAACACAATTGAAGGAGATGGTTACGGAAACTCTAAGAACAACAGTTTTACTCCCATGACTCTTGGGTTGAGACTCTCGACTTCCAACAACTTCTACACGACCTCAAACCCCAACTGACACAACTAGGTCTCGGTAGCCTCAGGAAACAAAACCAGTCCGCACACAATAGGTCTGGCTCATTCACAACTCCATCCAATTCCAAGTCGTTCTTGGGTAACATTCACTTCTACCTGCTGCTACTTCCACACAGGAAAGAGATGAATCCTATCCACACTGGACGAAAGTATCACCACAGAGAGTATCAACTGGAAAACAAACTTATCTAGCACTGAATGGTTTACAGCATCATCGAAAGAGTATTCCACTAATGTCTGTCCAAGCAAGTTCGCTGACAACACCGTCAGCTAAGAATGATGAAACCGAAAACTCCCTCACAGTACACTATATATATTGTTCTTGTACACAATCATACACGAGATGTGAAGTCCTATAATAGTAATGTTATACGGCTAGCTAAGTCATGCAACACAGTGGTAACATATCCTCAAGTTATTCGCTTGACGAAAGATGAAGACCCCATCGGCTATGCATTTTATATGTGGTCAAGAGTAGAGGCATGAGACCACTGACTTACTGAGAAACAGTGAGTAGAATCACTTTCCCCCCATTCTTCCATTTACTACCACATATCGTCGTCAATGTTTTCAATTTTTGATACGTTCATATATATAGCATTGCCACTAATACTACTTTAGATATCACATGCTTCTGCGATTATTTTGTAACTTAATTAATATGCATCGTGAAGACAGAACATTAGGCGCAATATTGGATAACATCCCAAACTTTATCAGAAATAATGTGTGGAATACAGCCATTGCTACCATTGTTATTATTACTGACGGGCTATTTCACTCACTTGTCTGTCACCGGCAACGAGCTCTTCTTCACCAAACAGTGTCGCCAGTTTCACTCAGTTTACAGGGATAAACAGTTAAACACACAAAGAGCAATACTCTACAATACAACAAACTGGCTTACCTGATCATCACCGTCAACATTAGCACGATCACCAACACTGCAATTAATTCCCACTTGTGAAGACTGATGGGATAAACCACAATACAAGATAATATCAGACCAGACATAATGAGTTAGCTCGACCAACTCGCAAACTACAGCCTCATCAAATTCAAACGGGAAATTCCCGTGGAAGTTCCCATCATAATTATCCAACAACTCATCGAAAAAATTCCTATCCTCTTGAACTTCTTCCTCTCCAATATATGGTAAGTTAGCCAACTCTTTCTCATCTTCTACAGAGAAATTCTGTTGGACCGTAGACCACATTGAGAAGCTTGGCAATGCATCCACGTGAGGGATTACTGTCACGGGTACATTGTAATTTTCATTGTTGATTCTAACACCAAAGAAAGTAGGCTTATCACACATAAGCGGAATCCGTATCGGTTCACATAATGAAACTGGATTGCCATCAGTACTATTATTATTGGCATGAAATGCTTTGTCCTCATCGTCATCACTAGCAACAGGAGCAGAGGACGCAGGTAACAGTTTCAACAGCATCTTCCTATTGCTTGTTAAACATTCATCTACATATTTCCATTTGTCTACTAGATTACTGAGTCGTATATAGTTGTACACCTTTCTAATCACCTTATGCAGGCGGTGACGATGTTCATTCAAAATGCTGTTATATGACCTAATCGAATCCTTGCTGGTAATAGTTAAAGTTGTAGGAGGAGGAGGAGGAGGAGTAATAGTAGTCGCCGTAGTAGTTTGCCGTCGTTGTCTCAATTGACGAGAAGAATATATCTCACCAACTAAACTGAATCTTCTGCTTCCTCTTCTTCCTCTTCCTCTTCCTCCACTTTTCCTAACAGCATTCTCAGTTTCCGAACGATACGATGATCGACGCATCATCTGTGGGAAACAATGAAAAAAAGTTAACGAACCAACTTGTATAAGCAAACACTGAGTAACACAGCAGAAACAAGTGACCATGAAAACTCATAATCACACACACACACACACCACACAATTCAGGTCGTACAAAATACCTCTACAAAAAGCATATAAAACACTAGAAGGCTTCAAAACCTTCATTTCATAGTTTAAAACACGTAGTTCAATTGTTTTACAAACTGACATCTTACAACACACTTTCATTCATCCTTGAATACACAGTGTGTAGAAAATACACCATTGTCATACTCGGAATGCTAACCAGCCATACTCACAGGTCCAGAGGTTCAATTCCTCATCCACGAATTCCCAAAGACCTCGCCTACTTATTTACTACCCGGTAGGCAGTAAGCCTGAAAAAGCCAGTAACAAAGATTTGACCGTGATGTAAGGAATCCCACCAACGTCATAGCGACCAAGACCTTCAAACTTCAGACCCTATGTCGAACAGCAGCACTAAATGAAATCTAATCCGAATACGTTCGCTTCTGACTGTGTGTCTGCACCGCGACTAGCACATATTTTCCGGACAAAAAGGAGAACACCTTGCTCGACCAATCTTTTCGTCAAACACTTCATAATCAGAGGATATATTTACGAGAAAGTAAGTAATGATATGCGCCAACGTCGTCACAACAAGCAAACAACCAGTCATACTCAAGATGACAAAAAAAACAGAAAAACCAAGCCAACACTCAAACCGGGAAAGAAGTAGTGTTTGTTTGGTGTGAACGAATGTTTTATTGATAACTTTTTACATGACTTTTCGTAGGATGTTATAATTAGAGCAGAAAAAGTTGCAATATAGTAATAACAACAATCAAGAAACGCTTTCATCTTGACGTGAATATGGAAACTGTGATGTTGTCAGTTGCCACTTCATAATCCCATTCCTTGTCTTCAGTTTCCACAGTGTCCTTTACTGGCTGCTTGCCTTTCACCTTAAACAACAAAAGAAGACAATAGAAATCAATCATAAATAGCAGTACACAACAAAAATCATTAAAAAGTAATGTTATCCTACCTTCTCTATTCTTCTGTCTAAATAAATGCATAGATACAAGTGGTATTCACAATCACACACGAGCATAAGTCGACTTCCACTTTCTACACCTCCATATAATTACAGACATATTAGGCTTGGCCATAGGTGGTAGACTACTATGCTAGCATACATAGTTAGAGGATGAAATTTACTTTCGGCCTAATTGCTCTCCCCAACATCATTCGTCAGTTTAAGCATCTTCAGTGTCTGTCTGAAGTTAAACTATGTCTGAGGATTTTTCAATTATGACGTCAACCTGTTGACCATTTTGGTCAGGTAGTTAGACTGTAACTTTGCCATCGATGACATTCTGGAGTCAGCTCTGAAGGATGTGCGTGAAGGTGGTGTACATCTGCGACCTGGAGATAGACTTTTCGACCTCGAATATGCAGATCATATCGTCTTACTGTGCGATAGCATGCAGGCTGCTCAAATCGCACTTAATCAGTTGGTGATCAGTGCCTGTAAATATGGTATGTACTTTGCACCATCTAAGTGCAAAGTACTGTTACAAGATTGGCAGGAGCCTGTACCTGTGGGTGAACCACTTGAAGCTGTTGATAAGTTTGTGTATCTGGGTAGTTGTGTGAGTGCTGGCGGAGGGGTGACGGATGAGATTTCCAACCGTATAATGAAGGCTAAGGTGGCATACATCAACTTGAGCCACCTCTGGCGCCGTCGCGACGTTAGCCTGGCTGTCAAAGATCGGGTATACAATGCTTCGGTGCGGGCTGTCTTACTCTACGCCTGTGAAACCTGGCCTCTCCACGGCTCTGCGTGTTCGATCATCGCTGTCTCCGCAGGATTACTTTTATTTTTTTTATTTATTTGATTTACAGCTTGATTCCACACCGTATTTTTAGTACAAGTATGGAATTTTCAGCATGGATATCGGTTGCCCAAATTCAGGCATACCATAGATATCGGGTGTGCGCCGGCAGGGAATCGAACCCCGGACCATGTGCATGGTCGGCGAGAGTCCTAACCACTGTGCCACCGACGCACTTGCGTTCGATGGCATCATCGCGTGAGTAATTTCGAGGTTCGGCGGCGAGTCTTTAAACACAGTGGACATCATCATTCATTGATTGTCTTCATCTGGAAACACAGACTCCGTTGGCTTGAATATGTGCTGTGAATGTCATCTCAGAGGCTTCCGTACCGGTGGTCTCTGTTCGCTAGCCCTGGGACAGGATGAAAAGGCGGACGGCTGGTCAGTCCATGACGTGGCTTCGTGGGATGAAAGATATTTGTGCTAGATTAGCATCGGTTGGTGCGTCACGACTCCCTCCCTGGTTGGGGTCCGCGAGATAGCTCGAATCGATGGCTCGAAACGTTATCGGATATGGCCAAGAATCGTAATCAATGGCAAACGTGTTGCAATTTCCTTCTTTCTTCTCTTCCTGATGATAGTTAACGAATACTGTTTGAACTTGTTAAACATGACTGTTTTCCTTCAAGATGAAATTCTCTATCCGTTCTCTACTTATATTTTTCACTTTTGATCGATGTTGTTTTATTATTGTTGTTGTGTGGCGCATCTTTCTTGGTGCCGTATTGTACCAAGTTTTTTTCTGCGTTTCAATAAATAAATAATATACAGAGGCATCAATAGCAAATAAGTACACTTACTGCATTACAACAGATCACTTTGATCTTCCTTCCCACTGGCCGACTGATTTCATCGCAATGCAGGAAACTCACTAGATTCATTCAGTGGGCGTAAAGCATTTCTCACCTTCCCACCACCACCACCACCACTATTACTACCGCTAGCAGTACCAGTTTTACGACTATTGTCCTTATCGCCTCTCTCAATCCCAACATATTTCAACTGTTCCATTGGACCATAACGATAGTCGAAGAATAGTTCTTCCCCCGGGAGAATAGCACGCTTGGCAAATATACCGATCCGATGATCACCGTTCGCCATCACCACCTGTACACAGACAAACAATAACACAACTGATGGATCATATAACAAACAATTCCCCCCCCACACACACACTCTAGTCGTACAGCACATAATGCCATCACTGTGAAGATAAAGTTATCGGATAAGAAGACACACGGATACACACGGATGGTTTACTTACTGATGACGTCTCAAGCAGAATTCATCACTCCTCAGAATCATATCAAGGCAAACTCTCATGCAATCCCTTCGCTACTTCCTTCATATAATAATAATAATAATAATTCTGTTACATTTCTTATCCTTTCATTTTATCATCCCTACTTACTTCACACATACACATACACATATACATTCGTTAGGGCACAGGGAGTTAAATTCACCTTGGAATGGAGTCAGAAAATCCACAAGGAGAATTACCTGTCATGATAGATTATAAAGCAAAAAAGTCAACAGGAGAGCATAAACTGTGCCCTAGGGTTTGTGGAGAGCCAACCCACTTGATTTTCGCGATAGATAGATACACTATGTGATAGACAGCTAATCAATATCATGTGACCTTCTTGTCGCGATTATTCGTCAATTTATCGTAACTCTCACCACGTGATGTGACTTTGAATGTTCTTTGTTGTCTGTCACTCTATTTGTGTATACATGTAATTAATTGACTGTTCATTTTGTCCGTACCCTCAATACTGTTCGGTAAGTTTTTGTCCTTTTTTTGTAATGACAGTGGATTTGTACATTTTTCTTGGTGTAATTGTATGATTTATTTTATGTTTTAGAAACAGATAAAGTTTAAGTCAAGTCATTCTGTTTTAACTATAGCTAAGCCAAGACTCTGTGTCGTCACTATTGAGGAAGGACTAAATCTGTAGGACAAAAATAATCCTACACCACTCTAATCTAATACACATTTCCAACTTAATTTATCTAAACACCCGTTATCGGTAAAGGCAGGCTCATCGAAAATGCTGAATAATAAATAAGGAACCGATAGAAGATGATGATGAGCTGGTGTTTAATAACGATTCCATGAAATCCACTAAGGGGATTGAAAAAGCGCACAAGAAAAGGAAATGCAGCTATCCAACTATTGACCACAGCACTTTTAAGAGGAAACAGCAGTGATCCCATTTACAGGTTCACCATGTAGGCAAGGGACATCTACAACTAGAAGATCGGTGGGATACAATCAGATTATCGGAGAATAAGAATGATTCACCCCATGAATACGAATTGTTTGCAAAGAAACTTACCAATTCTAATGCATACACTCATACACACACACAATGCGGTCAAAGTGCCAAATCTACACACCTAACACGCAAACACCACAGATATACAAAATATTATTACCACTAAAATCAAAGAACACATAGAAATAATGAGATTATGTGAACAAAGTTCCGAAGTTACGTGATTGGCTACGCTCACATGATTATCAGCAGTGACAGTCTCCTCGAAACGTCATCCGTGTACAAAACTCTATCATCACTGTGTGCTGGCTGCTTTTATCAAATGCATATATATTCGACGACACAATAATTTACGACAATAACAATGATGATGATGATGATATGTGTGTGAAAACAGACCAATTGGACGAAAGAGTAAAATTTTTAAAAATCCTATGCACACCACAGAGGCACATGAAAACCTCCGGGGAATTCACATATCTTACGTTAAAATAAACATATGACGCATATTATGTCTAATAAAGTTGTTGTTGTTGTTGCCATTCCCGTCTTATCTTTCTTTTGTGGGCTCACGAAAGCAGAAGGTTTCTCCGGGACAACAACCTGTTGCATTCGTCGTTCAATCCAGTTGCCTACCTACTGCCCTCTATATTCTTTCTCAAACCCACCCCCCACCCCATATTACTATTATTATCCAAAGTTATAACAAATTCACTGACGTGTGGCCTTACAAATTTGACTTCGCTTCCAAAGGGTTATTCTCTCAGGCACAACTGCTTTACAATGACACCTCAGTGTCTTCGAATACACTCCAATTGGCCGGAGACAAACAAAACTGTCGAATCAACTAGGACAGACTAGAAGCTACCATGCACAATTACATTCTCCTCAAGGACACTTCTATCACAACATCAACGTCAACAGTGTACAGCCATTATTTTCTATATCACACTAGATTATTTCACTAAACTCACTCAATCATCTTGAGTATCAAACACTGAAACATGCAAATACATCACGTAGAAGCCCCGAATACGACTGACTGTCCAGTGAAGTGTTTAACACGACACTACTTACTGGTATATACATACAATGGTTGACAGTATACTTTATCCACGGTGCAAAAACTAGATCGACAGTAACGGGAATATATGTGTGTCACAGTGCACGGATGCACAGGTTCCAAATGAATCTTTCGCTACACACACACACACACATTCACTGTCGAACACATCCTATCATCATTTGATTACCAACGTTTACATAATAAAGTAAAAACATTTACAACATAACACACTTCATTATTACCTATCGTTAAAATCACTACACAGAGACAGACAGTGGAAATAGCTTTAGTGCGAGAAGATAATAGTCGTCGTTATGTTAACTAAGTCGTCTTCTCTCTATCTCATCTCTCACTCGCTGCTCTGTGCGTGTGTGTGTGTGAGGGGGTGTACACCTACCTAGTGTCTCCACCAAATTCTCAGATTCTCCTTTTTCCCCTCTCCCCCCCACCAACTCCACTACTCATTCTTTAAGTGAATCAGATGCATATTCAGACAACGACTGAAAGGAACATCGCACAGCAACAGACACACACACACACACACACACACCTTGTATACACATCCACCATACGCAGCCGCCGCCATTCAGCTAGCTAGCTAGCCAGCTAGCTGGGAGACAGTGAGGATTCAACACATCATCATCATTCTAAATGAATCCGACAGAAAAATCTTCGCAAAACTACTCGCATATATAAAGAAACACACAGGAAAGGTTTAAAACAATATCAAACTATTTGGGTATCTTACACATTAACACACAAACACACCCACACACACTTACTCACCCTTGCATAACAATTTGGATTAACCGAATGATTGGCGAATCGAATTTTATTACCCTTTCGAGTAGCATCCACAACAAACTCCCGATTAAGATTGAACAAGAAACTGCTCATTGTTTTATCATAAATTTTTCCTATTAGAAGGAGGGGAATGAGATGAAAACAGAGTGAAAAAATGTTGAAAACGTTGGTGCGACGATTATCCATCCGCTGTTCAAGAACACTACTGCAACATGTTCTTCCAGTCACCTTTCTATATTAACCTAGTGAATGACGGACCGACCGATAGCTGCTATCTTGACGTGGTGGTCGGGCTTGCACATCGCGATGACCCAACAAGCTACATTAGCTGGAACCAATGTTTCTGCAGGTCCCACCATGCCAGGAAGGTTGTTAGGATAGTGATTAGACTAAAAGCAGTTACCGGCATTGTGTAAGAATCTTTCTCACATAATGCTGGGGTCTGAGGGCGAAGTCGTACTGCTGGGGAACAGGGGTGTAACAGCAGTGAGGGTTCCCCTCACTCAGATGACCAGCATGCCAGCCACCTATGCTGTCTCTCCACTCTGGAGAGAGGGGGTCAGAAAAGGTCGACCAATCCCAGAAGCCAGTTCATACAGGCCGTGTGTGATCGGCCTAAGGCAGTTGTCCCCTGGGCTCTGCAGTCACGCGATACTAACCCTCTCTCTCTCTCTGTTCCAGGTACCCGAAGAATCAATCAACTTCCAAGGTGTGGCCAGCCGGGAAGTAACAACTGCCCACACCACTTCCAAGAGCAAACGAAGCCTGAGTGAAGTAGAGAAGGCAGCATCCAGCGATTGTTACCGTGGACATCAACAGTCTTCAACGAATACTACTACTACTACTACTAACACCGCCCACTTCAAAGAGAACAAATAACACGGACAGTTGTGGTGTCCTCATATCGCAAATTCACAGATTATTATTATTATTGTTATATAAGCACTGACGTGGTACAGGACACTAAGGGTACCACCACCACTTCATGAATGATTCTTTAAATGGAAGATTTCTACAACTTAGCTATCTTTACCCATAGATGTGTATCACCGTTCTATCTCCCATGTAAAGTTACAGAACATGATGAGTAATACTGACACAAGGTACACACACTGTCAGCTCAGGACAAAAAAATCAATCCAACACGTTGTAAAGCTGTATAGATTCACATGGCTACAACATGTACGATACATGCTGAGTCAATGTATTCCTCCTCCTCCTCCTCCACCTTGTACAACGAACGCTGACTGACATACGATTACATTCAAAAGGAATTACGAGTGATCAAATCAAAATCTCCCAATAAACCCACAAACTCTCTGATTGTTCGTTTCAGCTAGCCATGTAGGAAGCTAATATTTACACCACCTTGACTACGGTCGTCAAGAAGTTAGAGAGGTAAGGCAACGAACAAACCAACTCCCTATCGCTCGCTGAACAAATATGCCGAAGAAGACGGAGATGGATCGGACAAACCCTCACACCATCTCTCAAGTGGGAACCGAACGAGAAAAGACGACATGACACATTCCATGGTCACATACACACATATGCAGGCGATCACGTGAGGCAAAGCAAATGAAACCTCAAGATCAATTGTGTAGTCAGCTGATAAAAGACTCCAGAAAACGAAGATCTCCGGTTGAAGCACCACATTCCCCACTCAGCAGTCAAGGGCATGATAATCACCATAAAAAAAGATAACCATTTCCTACTTTAAATTATCACTTTCATTGATTTGTTAGTATATAATAATAATAATAATAACCGCAGAGTTTAACAACTTACCACGCCGATCTGCTTCATCCTGGCTAATAATCTCACCACAATATTCGTAGATGAACTCATTCTTCTCGGCACCGTCTTTGATGAATATGCCCCAACTATGAAATATATGTGTGCACAAAAATTAAAACATTACATATGACGCTGTATATACTACTGATTCATTCATCGGCCGACATAAGTAGTGCTGGACAGCTACCTAGATAGCTAGCTAGCTAGCCTGTTGGACCAAGGTGATCCATCTAAATATACACAACGGACAACCATTTCTCTCGTTTTCTGCATCTAAGTTCATTATCGGTGTACCTAGTATTCACTCAGCTCATAGGGAGTCAAATCATTTGAAACTATCGAAAGTCTCCATAGCTAGCTAGCTAGCCAGCCAGCCAGCCAACCAACCAACTAACTAACTAAATAATCGGGAGAACAACTTGTAATACATTCAACTTACAAATGGCACATCTCATCTAAGCACAAACTACTAGTGTAACGCTGTCACTATTCTCTCTCTAGAGAGAGAGAGAGAGTACAGTTCGGAGTCCAAAGCTATTCACCACAGTACAATGTATCAAAATCTTACAGTGCATATTTCACCGCCATATCCCATATTAACTTCATACTTGATTTTACAAATTCACCTACTTATCAATTCTAAAAATATCTACCTCTATTGTATTAAATTCTGTCTGGAAACCACGACAAATATACACTCAGCAATTCTTATCAACATAGATATACACTGAATAATTTGAAACTAGACACCGAAGAGACCAATGGATAGTTTACACATCATCATCACTCTATATATATACACACACACAAATACCCATCAATAGGCCTATAGAAGCGCTCAAAAACCCACTCATTTCTCACCAACAACTTCCACTTACAACCAAAGTAACACTAGAAGACTTCACATACCAACACTCCACCACCAATGCCTGACTTCTCTACATCACTTTAATTCCAGGGGAAAATAAACAAACAAACTCAGGGTGCTGCCATGGGATCACCAATAGCACCCTACCCTATACTTGCATACATAATTGAGGATAGGTTGGAAAACCTAGTGAATGAAACTTCCAGCACTTTCCACCTTCAAAGTGTGCTCGAGCTATGCACATCACACTTTTACAGTGCTTAACTAAACAGCAGTAGTGTGAGGCGATCTTTCAATCGAAGACTGAGACTTCATCGTCATCATCAACAACAACAACCAAAATTAAATTACACAATACAAACAACACTGACACTCTCTTACCCAGACACATCAGATGGCGCCATCAACAGATGCTTCCGCCAGCCTCTTTGTAACGCCACATTTCGACATGTACCAGTAACACGTGGTGAACTAATCGTTAACGCATTCAATAAATCCGTCATTGAAGAGAATGTTCCAAAAGAAGACTGTGCTCCACACGACACGCATATGTCGGGATCACATTCTCTAAAGGCCAAAAAGCAAGGACATAGTTTCGTATTACAGTGTCCACGGCAACGACATCCTGGAAACCTGAAGTAAGAAACCCAAAACAATATTTCAATTTTATACACACCTGACTCACTGACTTATCCATTCAAAAAGAAACTGTAACAATTACTTCTTTACCATGACAACTCATCTTTTTTTCAACCCTAATTTATTATATCATCATCATCATCTCGTTCACCAACTATAATCGTTGATCTCTATTTTCCGTCATTTGTATGCAGCTGATAAAAGGTACCGACGAAATAAACCCTTACAGTGTGTGTCGATGATATTGCCTTGTACAATATTTCAAACTCCCTTCACACGTACACAATCTCACCAAGTTCGCGCTGCTTCAATAGCCGATCCTAAGCACCAGAAGAAAAAACGGAGGAAGGTTGGGTGTCGAGCTACCGACCCTAGACGAGAAAATCAACCCACTCAATACACAATCTTCAAAGCCAAATTAATAATAAAATTATTTTCCTTAGGAGTTGCAGAAACGGTATGACGCAAGTGGTGAAACCGTTCGCAAATCCAGTCAGCTGATGTCTTCTCACAAAGAAGGTGAAAATCTTCTTACAATGTAACGAAGATCCGAATATGCTTACCAGGTTATCAAAGAAGTAGGGGCATATGGCATAGAACTGTTACGAATCTCTGTCAGAGCAGATGCAATCGAAGTGAACTCTCCACATTGTTAACTTCAGAGTCAACAATCTACTCCGGACATCTATACGACAACCACAGCACACTGAAGCAGTGGCTTTCATGAAGTCAATAACAGTATCTAAACCACTGGTACAGTTGGGCAACGTTTCCAGAGTGATATGGAAGACACTATGTAGTAGTGATGAGGAAACAAAAGCTTATGACCAATGGGAGAGTCAGCTAAACAAACAAAGCACACGACAGGGTGAAATGTCGAGTCCATACGCCACACATGCAACCCTACTACCCTGTCTTCCACTCCGTATTCACAACGAATAAGAAAAAAGGAAGAAGAAGAAGACCAGTATTCTCTTCAAAATTCAAAAATCTAAAGTCTACAATCCACTACGCAACACTAGACTATGTACTACACTCCACTTACAGTTGACTAAAAACAATCCCATTAAAACAGCCACTCACCTATTCCTACAATCAGGCGGACATTGACAAAATTTTTCACAGAATGTTCCAGCCTTTTTACACAAACACGACTCATCACATCGTTGACCGGGATGATCACACGGGTGATAATGATGTGCAGAAGGACCAACTGGTAGAACACTATTACCATGATGTTGAGAAGCACTCGTTTGTGAATTCTCATCCTCGTCTATATACCAGGAAAGAAAGAAAACAAAAACAAACAATAACCATGTAGTATCATTACTTTTCATTATTATCCCATTTGGGTTCCAAGTGGAATATGGTGAGTGGTGTTATTGAATTTTACCACCACCAGATAGGTGGGCTTGAAATAGCCGCCTCACGCCAAACCATCCATTCAACCGCCTCTTCACGCGCTTACTACCCACATCAGTAGTAATAAACAACTACGTGAGGCCTAACAATGCATCGATGGTCAGGAATCGAACACCAGCCACCTCAGCATGACTGCTGAGCACTCTACTAATCAACCACCACTAGACACACAGATGCAGTAGCAAACACATGCCAATGACACAAGAGAAGTCATCGTAGTAATTGTTGTCACGAAAACCCCATGCCCTACACCACTACACCTCCACCCTATCCTCAGGAGGAATTCAAATGAGAAGCCACCTTTCGACCATCGTTCTCGAGGTAACAGCATTGAGCGGACCATGTCAGCAGAGCGTATACGCTTCTATGTAGTCCTCGAGTCACCTGAGAATGACAACGAAAGGCAGAGTACAATACGAATGGGCTGCCGCTGAAGCCCTATGCTCTGCTCTGTTCTGCTCTACTAGGGATGCAAGGAATGAGTATTAACAATAATAAGAATTTAATACACAACAACATACGTAAGCGAATTGAATTTTAGATTTTCTCGTCGATTGATTGGACCGAAGTGCTCGGTCTCAGGTTGACATGCTGGCTTCTTGTGCAGATACTTCGACGATGTCTGGGCATGTAATTAGAAGTTAATTAATTCGTGGATGGTGACTAGCAGTGGAATCCAGGATAAAGCGCATTTCGTCCAACTTGGGATTTGTCATGTGGATGCAGGTACAAATGTCAACCTGAGACCGACCACTTCGGTCCAATCAATCGACGAGAAAATCTAAAATTCAATTGAATAATCAATATGACCCGTTGCACAAGAGGTGGGTGGCCCTCGTGGCTCAAGTGGTCTAACGGATAACGTTTTGGCGTTGGAAACTATGGGCACTTGGTTCGAGTCCCGGTGGGAACACCATCACTCACTGGGGAATTGAATGTAGATGCATCCATGTGACGAGTCCCAAATAGGACGAAACGCGCATCCTGGATTCCACTGCTAGTAGTCACCACCCACCAATGAAATATCCTGTTTCTCTAATAAAAGATCATCAGGCTTCAGTCCAATATATATCGTCGCTCATACATTAACAAATGATTACTATTGCATAGCAATAATAATAATAATCCTATTAATGACAAGATGAACAAGTGGAATACTTTATGATAACAAGAGGAATCGAAAACACTAAACAAATGTCCACACCAACCTTGTAAAAGATAAAGCCTAACGAAAACAAATAGTAAGATTACATAGTGCTAGACTGTAAGGGACGGGGGGAGGGCAGGAAATGCATTATGCTCTCATGAAGGTTCAATAAGAATAAGGATTGATATAAGATAGGCACGAATTTCGTCTGAATGCACACTTCAGGCCAATTAGTGATCAAATGGCATTGAGTGCCGATCATGGCTCGCAACATCAAAACACCTATCCTGTGAACACACACACAATTAAACGACCAATCATTCTCTTAGGTGAACCATGTAAACACTCAAATTTATCTATTTACACACACACACACACTTTCTCTTCAGCATCATCGAAGTCAGTTCACAAGCACCAAATGAGGAAAGACTTCAACCGCCACCGCCACCACCTGACCACTTACCTTCACGAGGAGTTGGTAACTTCAATACCATCCTTCTTCTAGCCTGTTTCTTGGCTCGTTTACGACGATATGTTGTTGCTGTTGGTACACCATTACAACTACTCGATTCATTCCCCACCAACAACGCTTCATCACAAAACTCTCCATTCCCTTGTACACTTCCATTGCATGATCCTGCTGATTCTGCACAATCATAACCATCCAACGATGCTGTACTAGCCGATCGTTGACTCCATTCTTCACCGGTACCCGGTACACGCAATGTACTCAATTGACCAGAATCTGGCTTCAGAAGAGTTGGAAGATCCTGTGTATTTGTATATGCCAACACCTAAATCATAATAATAATAATAACAGTAGCAGTATTATTAATTATGATAATTCAACATATGGATAAAAGAGGCAACACAAAGACAATGTCACGATTTTATCAAGTCTTGCGATCACTTGGAATGAAACGTCCAACCTCCAGTGGATTTTAAGCCAACAGTCTCCCGCCTAACCAGTCAAAAAGTTACCATTCCACAACAAAGAAACCTATGAAATTTAAAAGTGTTGTATTATCTACTCACTAGAAATCCGTACTACTGTTGTTCTTATTACTATTTTTTTATTATTGCCATCGTCAATATTCGTTACTTGCGTCCATGGAGAGAGACGTACGGAGCCCTGCACTCTGAGCCCAGCCAGCTATCGATCGCATGTGGTATAGGAACTCATCACAAGTCTTCATTTCCTCCAGACATCATCGTCAACGCCTATGTTAACCACGGCTGCGACACAAGCCCCATTCGGCTGCTCCAATTCTTCAGGTTTCACTACTCGACAGCCTACTTGGTGTTTCAAGTCAATTCATAGTCCCCTCAGCGTTTCTTTCATCCATCCATCCACATATTCATATGCGCATACACCGCCACCATATCTCCACAACGAAGACCACATCGCCAACCAGGGTGAAGGATAACCACTAACAAGCACTTCTCACAGTATACAAATGCTTCTGGCAACACGCCAAGTCTCCGAAGCATATAGGAGCACTGACTTAACACGTTACCTTCTCCGTGTTGTGTTCCGTAGATTCTCACAGTGACATTCCCAATGACCGATTCTTTTATTGCCTCTACATGCCAACTGGAACATAGGACAGCTTCGAGCTCTCAAAACTTCAGTAGCAGCTGTGTGTGTGCTTTTGTTGTCGCCGTCGTTTATACACCGTGGAATTGCTCCCTTCAACATCCATCGAATCTACTACTTTTCAGGGCTTACTGCTAGTCACGTCAAGACAGATGTCAAGACAGCAATCGATCGAGAATAGAACCCTAACTCCTCCACAGCGTGACTACTGACTGACTGACTGACTGAGCATTCATTCTACCATTCAACCAATGACGACGCAACGGCTTCATCACTATCATAAAATCAATGGAAATGACAACAGACAGAGCGAAGAAATGCATTCCTTTACAAATTAGCTCTGCATTGTCGGTTCAGTTTCACATCAAAATTTTGCTAATCACCTGATTGTTAGAAGTGAAATGAAAACGTGATCAACCCCTTTCTGCAGACTATTTCTACTTAACAAGAAGCTATTCCAATAAATATGTCATCCGAGCCAACATTACCTTCCAGCCTATTCACAAAACTATATTATAGTAGCCGCAGAACCCATCCATTCAGTGAGTAGACGCACACACACACACACACACACGTCAGTAACAACCACAGTCATAAAGTCAGCCAACATACTTTACAAGAAGAATCGAAAAAAGCCTATTCGAAAATGATCACACACATTTAACAGAAAACACTGAAGCATCAATAAACTCACATCACAACACTTTTTCGTTCCAAGTAATTTCGACAATCTACAGCACCAGTTGTATAAATTGTACGATGGATCTCCGTAAGGGATAAACAGTGGAGCCAACACTTCATATAGACATTTTTCATCATGACTCCATTCCACGTTGCTGGGTGCACGCGTTGCATCACATCTTTTATTAGTATTATTGTTATTCATTGAGTTCTGTCCAGCAATGTCATTCACCGACTGGCGAACACACCATGAACCACAATATGGTCCATCCATTTCTAGAAATCACAGAGGTAGAGAAAAGGAGAAAGGAAAATATACACATCAAGTCTGAGGAGAAATATTCCCTCACAAAAATCAATTAATTATAGCATTCTTATGATTGATATTATTTCCATTATGGATTAATTTCAATGCAGATTTCTTCTTGTGATAATCACAGAGAGATTAGCTCGACTAATATAGTATCTAAAATCCTAGGCTCAATAATACTGCGTAGACTAAGTGGTGCTCGGGAGGCACAAACATGAGAAAACCAGGCAGGTTTTAGGCCAGGAAGAGGGTGCATTGATCATATCTTCATCCTTCGATAGATTCTAGAACATAGGCATTCTTACCGGCGTCCAACAACCGTTATATTTCTTGACCTAAAGGCAGAATTCGATTCTGTCGACCGAGAGGTTTTCTGGAGATGCTTGGCTGTAAAGGGAATGCGGAGAAAATACATTGCACTGATTAAGGAACTCTACTCGTACTCATGCAGCCAGCCAGGTGAGAGCTTACGGCGAGTTGTCATCTGAAGTGGTGACAACTAGTGGCGTCCGCCAAGGAGGCCCATTATCCCCATTTCTATTCAATTTCATCATAGACGTACTAATGGACTTAACCCTAACACACTTCAGAGGCTCAGGGATTGACTTGCTACCAGGGAATAATCTCGTTGACTTAGAATATGCGGACGATATAGTCCTTCTAGGCGAGGACGCTGACAAAATACAGCAGAGTCTTCTGAAAACCTTGGGCAGCAATCTTCGTATGTTTGGCATGCGATTCGCCCCTGTAAAATGTAAGATGATGCTGCAGGATTGAACTACACCGACTCTTAGTTTAGAAATAGGAAGTGAAGTGGTAGAGAACGTTGACCGCTTCACTTTTTTGGGAAGTACCATCAGCCAGTGCCAACGGGTTGATCTCTGACGAAATCTCACTACGAATACAGAGGGCTAGTTCTGCATATGCCAGTTTACGCCGTCTCTGGCGTAGACGTGATATCCGACTCGCTATCGACCAAAGGGCGTGTGTACTGCTCAGCAGTCCGCTCCGTCCTCCTTTATGCCTGTGATTGAGACCTGACCATTGAGAGCAGAAGACATGAAAAGATTAGCTGTCTGTGATCATAGGTGTCTGCGTTCTATCTCCTGTGTGAAGTGCTATAATAAGTTGAGCAATATTGAGGTTAGGCATCAGGCGAGTGCTAGGTAAGGAGGGGAAATCAATCGATGAGACTGTGAAATTACATCGACTGAGATGGTTAGGACATGTGTTACGTATGCCTAGTCATTGCCTTCCTCGACAGACGGGCAATGTTAGCTGATATAGGGTCAGGCTGGAAAAGAGCTAGCGACGGTCAAACAAAAACATGGCACCAGTCAATGAAATCCACAACAGTTAGTCTACGCCATGTAGGAAGATGTAGACTTCCTGACTGCTTGGGGTCCTCGGGACGGTAAAAACCAATGGTTGGAAACAATTGGTGACATGGCTCAAAGTGATCCTTCTCAATGGCTAACGCACATGCATCCACTCCTTGTGACTTATGATTTCCAATAAAACTGTTTTGTTCTTCGTTATTACTATTCCTTTGTCTCACACCTCTGTTTACTGTCTATATTATGCATTTCTTCTACTTTCTGCTCTTGCTTTGTGTGCTACATAGAATGTGGCGACTTGAACTGACGCACATATGTGCAAACTTCTATGTCGAAAACCGACCGACCGATCAATGCAGATTTCGTCACCAATCGACACCAGTTAGAGGGAGTCATTGAAAACCGGGAAACACTCGACAGCTGTTTCGCCGTATTTCCAATCCTCCAGTAATTCCCACCCACAATCCCGACAAAGATCGAATAATCTGCAACCTTCGAGTTACCGCCACCATATCAATCACTCCGATAAACACTCTCACCGACTGAGTCGGAGTTCAACGACCTGTCAATTACCCTTACACAGCTTTATCCTCAACTAATGCCATCGGCGACTATCCATCCATCTAACCCTAAAATGGCAGGCGTATCGTATCCCACTGGTCACTCCTTCTCACTCCACAACAATTTCATGGCATTTATCCGGTAGGCATATGTCCGCTGCAGATATGTTGAGATATATTGACACTGCGGTTTTTTGTTGCGGTTTGCATCAATTTCATTATAACTATTATCCCCTCGGTTCTTCACGAGTGGAACACAGACGTTTACCCATCCGGTGCACAACTCTATTTCACTCTCATTCTCTCCAATCTTATTCTATCAGCTCACTAACCCCACTACCAATCTCCATCAACTTTCATCACCTCCACACCTCAAACCATCTCCTCCATCTCACCTTCGGACGAACATCCCACCTTACTAGTTGCTCACCTCCCGTTTCATCCATTCCAGTTCCACCCGAGAGCATGCTTCATCTGTAACATCAATCAAACATCTCCTCCGACTATGTCCAATCCATCTGTCCCCATTTCCCTCTGCATACTTCTTGGCCGATAGGTTCTTCATCACTGCGTTCGTTGACAGAGTTCATTCTTGCTTGCTTATCTATCTATCTTTCCCAGTCAGCCATTTCATATTCCCTATTGACGAATATAGTTTTGTTTAGAATTATGGCCACCTAAATAACAACTTGCAAATCCCTAGGAAGGCGACGAGGAGCCACAACACACCTATGGCATGTGTGTGTGTGCGCGCGTATGTCTGAGGGGCAGTGATAGTAACACCTACTGTTGCCCGAACCACTCTCGGTAGATGCAGTGATAGTTTAAACCCGTCACCCAGTTAGTTGGTGCACAGTCGACACCCTAAACCAATGAGCACCACAGATCCACTCACGAAGATAAAGAACCTGCGGTATATACATATACTCACATACCGTTCATAAATCATACCCAATCTATAAATACACAACTCTCAAACTCAGCTCTTTTCATATCATTTAAAGCAAAATATTCGAATGAGAGGACGGAACAAACTAAGTAGCACAGAAGAAAATTCAGTGACACAAAGTAAACGGGAGACTATCAAAATAAAAATGAAACCATCATCAGGTCAAACACGTATGCTGAATATATACACACATGCATATGATGTCGTTGATAGTGATTGGTGCTTGTTGTTGTGTGTCTGTCTAGTGAGGCAGATTCTTTCTACTCGGTGGAGGGAGAAGGATTCAACATACTCCTTCTGAACAAAGAATTTCGGTTGATAACTTCCAATCACAACTCCCCTATACCTATGCTTAGCAATCCAAGGCGTACCAATCCAAGGAATTCAAGTGACACACTCAATAGAATTGTAGAGCTTGAATTTTTATCAGTCTTCTCCTCCACCTTATCTACTAGGCGTGTCAATACCCAGTATCTGATTCACCTACAAACTCTTCTTCCTAACCACCTTTGACAACCTTCAACAAGGCCACCGTGAGCTTCACGAGTCATTCTGCCTATGTAACTGCCTCCACGAGAACACTTCAATTTGTAAGTTCAGCACACTCGAGCGATCAAACCCGGCAGCCTACCTATCCTTCTCCTACCTGCATTCGAATTCCACAACTAAGGGGGGATTTCAAATATAGTCGTGCGGCAAGCAATCGTTTTAATATTCTTTTCCGCAGTTTCCATGCCAGTAATTCAGTGGCTGCATCTCCTTCGAACAGTAAGGTCAAACATAAACATTCTTTACTCCTGTACCCCTTCTACGCATTTCTCTCCGTCTCTTCTCATCATACAGACTTACATTCTACTAACCACATTAGTTTCAAATGTCCAGGATTAACGTCTTATTAAGGAAACACAAATCCTGAGATGAGCGACTACCGAAAACACGCACTTCCTTAGATTGTGAATGGTGATGTACACACACACACACACACACACAGAGTTTCGGCAGGTGGAGCAGGGACAGGGTGGTTGGTTAGCCGTAGAGGAGCAGTAATTCAAATGACATTTAAAAATCGAATTCATCACTAACCGACATTCGTTTTTCCATTTACCGGCCAACGATGGCTCCACATCGACGGCGTAGACTTATACGGATGTAGGCAACAATCATACTTGAAACACCGACGACAAAACAATGTCCGATACGAGTGTAAAGCATCACCTCGTGAAAGGTTTTTATGTCGACCACTGATCACCGCATTGTGCACCTCAAAGGGATTGTCTAGATTTGGACAAGGCATCGGCGTCTCCTCATTTGACTACAACACAAGAAATAACACATTTTATTGATCCAAACAAACGCACACGCACACACGCACACACACACAAATTATTGGCAAAACTTACACAGATGTAATCAATGAAGAAAAAACACTAGAACCCCGTAATTTCCTACCTCCCTCAAACACCGATTAAACTAATAAACAATATTGCAAATGAAATAAAATAGACAATGTTGAAGCATAATATCCATCCACTCTATTTCCTTGGCTCCCAACAGCTGCAAACAACCCCCCCCCCCTCATAACATCCAATAAAACGAGTTATAATACAATTTAGACAAACATTTCCTGCATCATCAATGACTGTCGTAAGAAACACTGATGATTGCGTAACGAGGGATATTAAAATACAATCACTGGAATTCACAACATTCCAGAATCAAAATCTCCTGTGTACGAAATTAAATGAAATGATGATGAAATACAGTGATGAGTAGAATTCAAAGGATAAGCGTGTAAAACCTTCTCATACCTACCACCCAGTTACACACACGTTCTAGTGTAAACAAGGTGGAACTTCAACTGTGGTGAGAGCTGTCTACTAGCCAAAATGGTAGACAGTAATTTACGTCAATGTTTACGTCCCCAATATTGGTCGTGAGAAAAATAAGAACAAAGACTGATTCAAAAACCAACCACAGCAGACTTTGCGTAGGCGGATACAGTTAGCACATAGATGATGATCTGACATTCAAGAAACAGCCACAAAGAGACGAAACAACCAATCAGAAGACTGTGTTTGTTTGCTTAACTAATCTATAATAATGTACATGAAAATCTATAAATATGTGTTGATTTCCTTTATAAACGATCTCTTGCCTGACCTTTGTCTTCTGTTGTTACACAACTACAAACCAACTGATTTAGAGTAGAGTGCTAACACCAATCACCAAGCAGTCTTCCAACTCAGGACATGCATGAACAACATTGTTTAATGGTGACTCCCTCTCCAACGTCTTTCCAAGTAGACATTTCATTACCATACACTGGATGGCATTTTCAACGTTGATTTTCACCACAACTTTGTAGTGAATATCTCTTCTTCTTACAAAAGAATTAGTCAAGCCAACTCCACATGCAAACACACACGTATATATAAATAAGCAAAGACTATCATCGGTCACCATTGGTTAATTACACATACCTGAGAATTATCTGCACGTCTTTTCGTTTCTATATACCTCTCTTTAAGTTTGTTTGCATCGTCTCCTGACCCAAATGTTCCAGCTATAGCCTGTGAAGAAAGGACAAAAGCAACAACAACAACAACAACAAAAGTCACTCAAAACCACAGAAATATACAACAACAAACAGCATTCAAACTGTAACAACTTCCGTGTCACCCTATATTAACCACCTTAAGGCTTTCATTAACACTTCCGCAGGGGAGGATAAAGGCAGTCGCAGGGTGTCAACGTTAGCCGATCTAGTAGTAGTAGTATTTAACAAAACACCACAACAGATATTATCACAGCTGCAGAAAATAAAATTCGATGAAGCATCTCTAAGCCAGACAAACAGTAACATCAAATACGACTACAGAATTCCCTCTAACCAACCACATAATCAAATACAAAATCACATAAGACTATCTAACTACGCGAGGTAGTTCCAATCGTAATTCACCCAATCTATGCCTGCCTCTCTTACACACAATCACAAGTAAGCAAAAAAACAAGCAAACAAAAGGACGAAGGCGGCGGTAAATTCATCTTACTAATAACTTGTATACTCATCCGTTAAACAATATACCAACTCAAAAGTGTTATGTTACTGATGTGTACATCAGTTGGACGAAAGTCGGTGCATATATGCCAATTCCATACTGATAACAGTGCACAAATATCAAGCAAACAAACAAGATTTAAACTTTCAGGATGATTTACCTCTGAGATGTCTCACAAACTGGAATTCCCACACTTGTCATCAAAAGTATTTCAAACAGGCCACTGCAGACTTTCATTAACAGACGCCTTCGTCCCATCAAAAAGGCTAGATGGCCCACCACAAAGCATAAGCAACAAGCGACTTTACCAGAACACTAAACAACAATAACAACAAACATGTGACAGCAAATGGACCAGATGGATCGGATATACGCTGTGGAGACCATTCAGGGGAATTACGCTCCAGACACACACCCTCCAGTGAATGCAATGCAGAACGTGCCTTTCCCCCTAATTTACCACTCGTCACAGCTAGTAAGTACATTAAAGGCAATCTTGGTGATTCCACCAAGACGACTGTTCTTCTTTTCCACCCAATTATGCCGGTCAACTGCTTATGAAAACATCCAACAATTTTACTATCGAAGAAAATAACTAACGTTCAGAAAGGAAACATGAAACGATGGCATCGGTCAATAAACTACAGTCATGGTCAAGCCAACACCAATATTCAGAGTACACCGTGAGTGACGGGAAGTCACCTCACCAGACTTCATGGTCACTTCACTAACAGAATTCAGTCACCACCAACACAAACGTCCTGCACGCATCACAATCTATCCTCCATCAACAGACCTACAAGTCAGTCGTCAATAGATGCTAGCTCAGTGGTAACATTTCTCACTCCACCCACTACTGATCGACTCAAGTCTCAATCTCCCAACGGACAGCAGTCCGTCACTTCACGATTCACAACCACTGCAGTCCCAACAAACAACTACACAACCTACGTGTCCATACATGCCTACCATCTACTAACATCAATTCCAAGTAATTCTATAAACAGAAAACAAATAGGTTAAAATAATTACAAAAGTCTTTTAATAAGCAACTCACGACAAACACTTCATAAGGAATCCCACAATCCTTAACACGTTTTGCTTCAGGTGAACTCAAACTCGAATCTCCTTCAGTCGATTCAGTAATTCCTAACACTTCATTCACAGTAAGAATAATCCCTTCACTTCCATTCCTCCGTTCATTGTCAACACCACTCGTAGTCGCCTACAAGAAGAAGAAGAAGAAGAAGTAATTACACAACTTGGTATCATTATTAGTCATTGATGCATGTATTACACAACAGACACAATCATATCTAACAATATGTAGAATATTTTTCTGTTGTCTGTCGATGTAAATCAGAGGCGGAAAATAATTTATGGATGAAATTCACTGCATGCTATCCTAATCTTAACTTCATAGTAGAACACGAGGAAAACCACCATGCCATCACATCACATTCCAAGATGTTTCTCTGCTGAGAACGATTGATGACACAATCGAAAGATGAATACTTAGAAAGTCTGCATTGATAGGATAGGACAGGATATACACCTTAACCACTTCCTTCCCATCCTGTATGAAAACAACCTATTCAAAACATTCTTCAATACAGTACGGAATATATTCACTCTCATAGGACAATCGAAAGTGAAATAAAAACCCTGGGACCGGGCACTCCAATCAGTCAACGGGAAAATATAAAATTCAATTAAATAACCAATATGACCCGTTGCACAACAGGTCGGTGGCTCTCCTGGCCCAAGTGGTCTAGTGGATAACGCTTTGGCGTTTGAAACTTTGAGCACTGGGTTCGAGTCTCGGTGAGAACATCCCCACTCACTGGGAAATGCAGGTACATTCACTGACGAATCCCAAATAGGACGAAATGCGCGTTATCCTGGATTCCACTGCTAGTCACCATCCACAAATTAAATTCTAATTAAACGCCCAGACATCGTCGAAGAATCTGCACAAGAAGCCGACATGTCAACCTGAGATCGAGCACTTTGGTCCAATCAATCGACGGGAAAACCTAAAATTCAATTTGAAAAAACCCTAAAGAATAGTTTACCTAAGAATCGATATCCCCCTCAGAGGTCACCCAGTAAGTATTCCAAACATATAGGAACCAGTAAAAATATCCAAACTGTTTCAAAGGAAGCCGTATATCTATCAGTCTACTATTTAGGGGGGAGGCGATCTACAAGAGGTATTTCAACGAGGACAGACTCAATAAGGGTATTATAGCACAACTAATTTGGCTGCAAAACTCCTATCCTTTAACATAGCCAAGCTAGTGGGGGAAGACAGGTTGCCAATGCTCCGCACTCTCAACTGCATACATCGATCTCGGTGTGATTGTGGAAACAAATAAACAAGTCTTATGAAGAGACGACTGTCTATTCACGTCATGGAAAATTCACCCGAATAGTTAGAAAAGCTGAAGTCAGAGTAAAAATAAGGTCAATAACAAAGCATTTTATATACACTACACTACTCGGTCAAGTCATACACTGCTGTCACCAGACAAACAAACGGAAGGAAGCTACTTTGCAAATCCAGTAGGCTTGGATGTAAGACCTCTTTACAGCCACAAATTGCAGGGAATTAAAGAAACAAAGCAAAACTTTGTACTCGAATGTATCAATAGTCAAATCTTGGTGCTACTAAGACATCTAGCTCGTGACACCTGAATTTAATATCCAAATATACGACAAACAGGTAGCCAGTTTAGAACTTTTATCGTCATTCACGATACAACACAATTGAAGGAGATGGTTACGGAAACTCTAAGAACAACAGTTTTACTCCCATGACTCTTGGGTAGAGACCCTCGACTTCCAACAACTTCTACACGACCTCAAACCCCAACTGACACAACTAGGTCTCGGTAGCCTCAGGAAACAAAACCAGTCCGCACACAATAGGTGTGGCTCATTCACAACTCCATCCAATTCCAAGTCGTTCTTGGGTAACATTCACTTCTACCTGCTGCTACTTCCACAGAGGAAACAGATGAATCCTATCCACACTGGACGAAAGTATCACCACAGAGAGTATCAACTGGAAAACAAACTTATCTAGCACTGAATGGTTTACACCATCATCGAAAGAGTATTCCACTAATGTCTGTCCAAGCAAGTTCGCTGACAACACCGTCAGCTAAGAATGATGAAACCAAAAACTCCCTCACAGTACACTATATATATTGTTCTTGTACACAATCATACACGAGATGTGCAGTCCTATAATAGTAATGTTATACGGCTAGCTAAGTCATGCAACACAGTGGTAACATATCTTCAAGTTATTCGCTTGACGAAAGATGAAGACCCCATCGGCTATGCATTTTATATGTAGTGAAGAGTAGAGGCATCAGACCACTAACTTACTGAGAAACAGTGAGTAGAATCACTTTCCCCCCATTCTTCCATTTACTACCACATATCGTCGTCAATGTTTTCAATTTTTGATACGTTCATATATATAGCATTGCCACTAATACTACTTTAGATATCACATGCTTCTGCGATTACTTTGTAACTTAATTAATATGCATCGTGAAGACAGAACATTAGGCGCAATATTGGATAACATCCCAAACTTTATCAGAAATAATGTGTGGAATACAGCCATTGCTACCATTGTTATTATTACTGACGGGCTATTTCACTCACTTGTCTGTCACCGGCAACGAGCTCTTCTTCACCAAGCAGTGTGGCCAGTTTCACTCAGTTTACAGGGATAAACAGTTAAACACACAAAGAGCAATACTCTACAATGCAACAAACTGGCTTACCTGATCATCACCGTCAACATTAGCACGATCACCAACACTGCAATTAATTCCGACTTGTGAAGACTGATGGGATAAACCACAATACAAGATAATATCAGACCAGACATAATGAGTTAGCTCGACCAACTCGCAAACTACAGCCTCATCAAATTCAAACGGGAAATTCCCGTGGAAGTTCCCATCATAATTATCCAACAACTCATCGAAAAAATTCCTATCCTCTTCAACTTCTTCCTCTCCAATATATGGTAAGTTAGCCAACTCTTTCTCATCTTCTACGGAGAAATTCTGTTGAACCGTAGACCACATAGAGAAGGTAGGCAATGCATCCACGTGGGGGATTACTGTCACAGGCACACTATGATTTTCATTGTTGATTCTAACACCAAAGAAAGTAGGCTTATCACACATAAGCGGAATCCGTATCGGTTCACATAATGAAACTGGATTGCCATCAGTACTATTATTATTATTGGCATGAAGTGCTTTGTCCTCATCGTCATCACTAGCAACAGGAGCAGAGTGCGCAGGTAACAGTTTCAACAGCATCTTCCTATTGCTTGTTAAACATTCATCTACATATTTCCATTTGTCTACTAGATTACTGAGTCGTATATAGTTGTACACCTTTCTAATCACCTTATGCAGGCGGTGACGATGTTCATTCAAAATGCTGTTATATGACCTAATCGAATCCTTGCTGGTAATAGTTAAAGTTGTAGGAGGAGGAGGAGGAGGAGGAGTAATAGTAGTCGCCGTAGTAGTTTGCCGTCGTTGTCTCAATTGACGAGAAGAATATATCTCACCAACTAAACTGAATCTTCTGCTTCCTCTTCCTCTTCCTCCACTTTTCCTAACAGCATTCTCAGTTTCCGAACGATACGATGATCGACGCATCATCTGTGGGAAACAATGAAAAAAAGTTAACGAACCAACTTGTATAAGCAAAGACTGAGTAACACAGCAGAAACAAGTGACCATGAAAACTCATAATCACACACACACACACACACCACACAATTCAGGTCGTACAAAATACCTCTACAAAAAGCATATAAAACACTAGAAGGCTTCAAAACCTTCATTTCATAGTTTAAAACACGTAGTTCAATTTTTTTACAAACTGACATCTTACAACACACTTTCATTCATCCTTGAATACACAGTGTGTAGAAAATACACCATTGTCATACTCGGAATGCTAACCAGCCATACTCACAGGTCCAGTGGTTCAATTCCTCATCCACGAATTCTCAAAGACCTCGCCTACTTATTTACTACCCGGTAGGCAGTAAGCCTGGAAAAGCCAGCAACAAACATTTGACCGTGATGCAAGCAATCCTACCAACACCATAGCGACCAAAACTTTCAAACCTTACGTCGAACAGCAGCACTAAATGAAATCTAATTCGAATACGTTCGCTTCTGCCTGTGTGTCTGCACCGCGACTAGCACATATTTCCCGGACAAAAAGGAGAACACCTTGCCCGACCAATCTTTTCGTCAAACACTTCATAATCAGAGGATATATTTACGAGAAAGTAAGTAATGATATGCGCCAACGTCGTCACAACAAGCACACAACCAGTCATCCTCAAGACGACAAAAAAACAGTAAAATCAAGCCAACACTCAAACCGGGAAAGAAGTAGTGTTTGTTTGGTGTGAACAAATGTTTTATTGATAACTTTTTACATGACTTTTCGTAGGATGTTATAATTAGAGCAGAAAAAGTTGCAATATAGTAATAACAACAATAAAGAGACGCTTTCATCTTGACGTGAATATGGAAACTGTGATGTTGTCAGTTGCCACTTCATAATCCCATTCCTTGTCTTCAGTTTCCGCAGCGTCCTTTATTGGCTGCTTGCCTTTCACCTTAATCAACAAAAATAGATAATAGAAATCAATCATAAATAGCAGTACACAACAAAAATCATTAAAAAGTAATGTTATCCTACCTCCTCTATTCTTCTGTCTAAATAAATGCATAGATACAAGTGGTATTCACAATCACACACGAGCATAAGTCGACTTCCACTTTCTACACCTCCATATAATTACAGACATATTAGGCTTGGCCATAGGTGGTAGACTACTATGCTAGCATACATAGTTAGAGGATGAAATTTACTTTCGGCCTAATTGCTCTCCCCAACATCATTCGTCAGTTTAAGCATCTTCAGTGTCTGTATAAAGTTAAACTATGTCTGAGGATTTTTCAATTATGACGTCAACCTGTTGACCATTTTGGTCAGGTAGTTAAACTTCAACTTTGCCATCGATGACATTCTGGAGTCAGCTCTGAAGGATGTGTGTGAAGGTGGTGTAGATCTGCTACCTGGAGATAGACTTTTCGACCTCGAATATGCAGATCATATCGTCTTACTGTGCGATAGCATGCAGGCTGCTCAAATCGCACTTAATCAGTTGGTGATTAGTGCATGTAAGTATGGTATGTACTTTGCGCCGTCTAAGTGCAAACTACTGTTACAAGATTGGCAGGAGCCTGTACCTGTGGGTGAACCGCTTGAAGTTGTTGATAAGTTTGTGTATCTGGGTAGTTGTGTGAGTGCTGGCGGAGGGGTGACGGATGAGATTTCCAACCGTATAATGAAGGCTAAGGTGGCATACATCAACTTGAGCCACCTCTGGCGCCGTCGCGACGTTAGCCTGGCTGTCAAAGGTCCGGTATACAATGCTTCGGTGAGGGCTGTCTTACTCTACACCTGTGAAACCTGGCCTCTCCACGGCTCTGCGTGTTCCATCATCGCTGTCTCCGCAGGATTACTTGCGTTCGATGGCATCATCGCGTGAGTAATTCCGAGGTTCGGCGGCGAGTCTTTGAACACAGTGGATATCATCATTCATTGAGTGTCGTCATCTGGAAACACAGACTCCGTTGGCTTGAATATGTGCTGTGAATGTCATCTCAGAGGCTTCCGTACCGGTGGTCTCTGTTCGCTAGCCCTGGGACAGGATGGAAAAGGCGGACGGCTGGTCAGTCCATGACGTGGCTTCGTGGGATGAAAGATATTTGTGCTAGATTAGAATCGGTTGGTGCGTCACGACTCCCTCCCTGGTTGGGGTCCGCGAGATAGCCCGAATCGATGGCTCGAAACGTTATCGGATATGGCCAAGAATCGTAATCAATGGCAAACGTGTTGCAATTTCTTTCTTTCTTTCTTCCCTTCCTGATGATAGTTAACGAATACTGTTTGAACTTGTTAAACATGACCGTTTTCCTTCAAGATGAAGTTCTCTATCCGTTCTCTACTTATATTTTTCACTTTTGATCGATGTTGTTTTATTATTGTTATTGTGTGGCGCATCTTTCTTGGTGCCGTATTGTACCAAGTTTTTTTTCTGCGTTTGAATAAATAAATAATATACAGAGGAATCAATAGCGAAAATAAGTACACTTACTGCATTACAACAGATCACTTTGATCTTCCCACTGGCCGACTGATTTCATCGCAATGCAGGAAACTCACTAGATTCATTCAGTGGGCGTAAAGCATTTCTCACCTTCCCACCACCACCACCACCACTATTACTACCGCTAGCAGTACCAGTTTTCCGACTATTGTCCTTATCGCCTCTTTCAATCCCAACATATTTCAACTGTTCCATTGGACCATAACGATAGTCGAAGAATAGTTCTTCCCCCGGGAGAATAGCACGCTTGGCAAATATACCGATCCGATGATCACCGTTCGCCATCACCACCTGTAGACAGACAAACAATAACACAACTGATGGATCATATAACAAACAATTCCCCCCCCCACTCTAGTCGTACAGCGCATAATGCCATCACTGTGAAGATAAAGTTATCGGATAAGAGGACACACTGATACACACGGATGGTTAACTTACTGATGACATCTCAAGCAGAATTCATCACTCCTCAGAATCATATCAAGGCAATCTCTCATGCAATCCCTTCGCTACTTCCTTCATATAATAATAATTCTATTACATTTCTTATACTTTCATTTTATCATCCCTACTTACTTCACACATACACATACACATATACATTCGTTAGGGCACAGGGAGTTAAATTCACCTTGGAATGGAGTCACAAAATCCACAAGGAGAATTACCTGTCATGCTAGATTATAAAGCAAAAAAATCAACAGGAGAGGATAAACTGTGCCCTAGGGTTTGTGGAGAGCCAACCCACTTGTTAATCGCCACAGACAGATAGACTATACGATAGACAGCTAATCAATATCATGTGACCTTCCTGTCGCGATTATTGGTCAATTTATTGTAGCTCTCACCACGTGATGTGACCTTGAATGTTCTTTGTTGTCTGTTACTCTATTTGTGTGTACATGTAATTAATTTACTGTTCATTTTGTCCGTACCCTCAATACTGTTCGGTACGTTTTTGTCCTTTTTTGAATGACAGTGGATTTGTACATTTTTCTTGGTGTAATTGTATGATTTATTTTATGTTTTAGAAACAGATAAAGTTAAAGTCAAGTCATTCTGTTTTAACTATAGCTAAGCCCAGACTCTGTATCGTCAGTATTGAGTAAGGACTAAATCTGTAGTACAAAAATAATCCTACACCTCTCTAATCTAATACACATTTCCACCTTAATTTATCTAAACACCCGTTATCGGTAAAGGCAGGCTCATCGAAAATGCTGAATAATAAATAAGGAACCGATAGAAGATGATGAGCTGGTGTTTAATAACGATTCCATGAAATCCACTAAGGAGATTGAAAAAGCGCACAAGAAAAGGAAATGCAGCTATCCAACTATTGACCACAGCACTTTTAAGAGGAAACAGCAGTGATCCCATTTACAGGTTCACCATGTAGGCAAGGGACATCTACAACTAGAAGATCGGTGGGATACAATCAGATTATCGGAGAATAAGAATGATTCACCCCATGAATACGAATTGTTTGCAAAGAAACTTACCAATTCTAATGCATACACTCATACACACACACAATGCGGTCAAAGTGCCAAATCTACACACCTAACACGCGAACACCACAGATATACAAAATATTATTACCACTAAAATCAAAGAACACATAGAAATAATGCGATTATGTGAACAAAGTTCCGAAGTTACGTGATTGGCTACGCTCACATGATTATCAGCAGTGACAGTCTCCTCGAAACGTCATCCGTGTACAAAAACTCTATCATCACTGTGTGCTGGCTGCTTTTATCAAATGCATATATATTCGACGACACAATAATTTACGATAATAACAATGATGATGATGATGATATGTGTGTGAAAACAGACCAATTGGACGAAAGAATAAAATTTTTAAAAATCCTATGCACAGCACAGAGGCACATGAAAACGTCCCGTGAATTCACATATCTTACGTTAAAATAAACATATGACGCATATTATGTCTAATAAAGTTGTTGTTGTTGTTGTTGCCGTTCCCGTCTTATTTTTCTTTTGTGGGCTCACGAAAGCAGAACGTTTCTCCGGGACGACAATCCGTCGCATTCGTTGTTCAATCCAGTCGCCTACCTACTGCCCTCCATATTCTTTCTCACCCCAACCCCCACCCCATATTACTATTATTATTATCCAAAGTTATAACAAATTCACTGACGTGTGGCCTTACAAATTTGACTTCGCTTCCAAAGGGTTATTCTCTCAGGCACAACTGCTTTACAATGACACCTCAGTGTCTTCGAATACACCTTAATTGGCCGGAGACAAACAAAACTGTCGAATCAACTAGGACAGACTAGAAGCTACCATGCACAATTACATTCTCCTCAAGGACACTTCTATCACACAACATCAACGTCAACAGTGTACAGCCATTATTCTATATCACACTAGATTATTTCCACTAAACTCACTCAATCATCTTGAGTATCAAACACTGAAACATGCAAATACATCACGTAGAGGTCCCGAATACGACTGACTGTCCAGTGAAGTGTTTAACACGACACTACTTACTGGTATATACATACAATGGTTGACAGTATACTTTATCCACGGTGCAAAAACTAGATCGACAGTAACGGGAATATATGTGTGTCACAGTGCACGGATGCACAGGTTCCAAATGAATCTTTCGCTACACACACACATTCACTGTCGAACACATCCTATCATCATTTGATTACCAACGTTCACATAATAAATTAAAAACATTTACAACATAACACACTTCATTATTACCTATCGTTAAAATCACTACACACAGAGACAGACAGTGAAAATAGATTTAGTGAGAGAAGATAATAGTCGTCGTTATGTTAACTAAGTCGTCTTGTCTCTATCTCTCACTCGCTGCTCTGTGTGTGTGTGTGTGTGAGGGGGTGTACACCTACCTAGTGTCTCCACCAAATTCTCAGATTCTCCTTCTTCCAGCCTCACCCCCCCAACTCCACTCATTCTTTTAGTGAATCAGATGCATATTCAGACAACACGACTGAAACAAACATCGCGCACAGCAACAGACACACACACACACCTTGTATACACATCCGCCATACGCAGCCACCGCCATTCAGCTACCTAGCTAGCTGGGAGACAGTGAGGATTCAACACATCATCATCATCATTCTAAATGAATCCGACAGAAAAATCTTCGCAAAACTACTCGCATATATAAAGAAACACACAGGAAAGGTTTTAAAAAATATCAAACTATTTGGGTATCTTACACATCAACACGTACACACACACACTTACTCACCCTTGCATAACAATTTGGATTAACCGAATGATTGGCGAATCGAATTTTATTACCCTTTCGAGTAGCATCCACAACAAACTCCCGATTAAGATTGAACAAGAAACTGCTCATTGTTTTATCATAAATTTTTCCTATTAGAAGGAGGGGAATGAGATGAAAACAGAATGAAAAAATGTTGAAAAAGTTGGTGCGACGATTATCCATCCGCTGTTCAACAACTACTGCAATATGTTCTTCCAGTCACCTTTCTATATTAACCTAGTGAATGACGGACCGACCGATAGCTGCTATCTTGACGTGGTGGTCGGGCTTGCACATCGCGATCACCCAACAAGCTACATTAGCTTGTAAGAATCTTTCTTACATAATGCTGGGGGTCTGAAGGCGAAGTCGTACTGCTGGGGAACAGGGGTGTGTAACAGCAGTGAGGGTTTCCCTCACTCAGATGACCAGCATGCCAGCCATCTAAGCTGTCTCTCCACTCCGGAGAGAGGGGACTAGAAAAGGTCGACCCCAAAAATTGTACATCCCGACTTACCCCACCTACGGTGGTCCGTAACCGGCGGTAAGTTTACTAATAAGGAACAAATCCCAGAAGCCAGTTCATACAGGCCGTGTGTGATCGGCCTAAGGCAGTTGTCCCCTGGGCTCTGCAGTCACGCGATACTAACCCTCTCTCTCTCTCTCTGTTCCAGGTACCCGAAGAATCAATCAACTTCCACGGTGTGGCCAGCCGGGAAGTAACAACTGCCCACACACTTCCAAGAGCAAACGAAGCCTGAGTGAAGTAGACAAAGCAGCATCCAGCGATTGTTACCGTGGACATCAACAGTCTTCAACGAATACTACTACTACTACACTACTAACACCGCTCACTTCGAAGAGAACAAATAACACGGACAGTTGTGGTGTCCTCATATCGCAAATTCACAGATTATTATTATTATTGTTATATAAGCACTGACGTGGTACAGGACACTAAGGGTACCACCACCACTTCATGAATGATTCTTTAAATGGAAGATTTCTACAACTTGGCTATCTTTACCCATAGATGTGTATCACCGTTCTATCTCCCATGTAAAGTTACAGAACATGATGAGTAATACTGACACAAGGTACACACACTGTCAGCTCAGGACAAAAAAATCAATCCAACACGTTGTAAAGCTGTATAGATTCACATGGCTACAACATGTATGATACATGCTGAGTCAATGTATTCCTCCTCCTCCTCCTACTCCTCCACCTTGTACAACGCTGACTGACATACGATTACATTCAAAAGGAATTACGAGTGATCAAATCAAAATCTCCCAATAAACCCACAAACTCTCTGATTGTTCGTTTCAGCTAGCCATGTAGGAAGCTAATATATACACCACCTTGACTACGGTCGTCAAGAAGTTAGAGAGGTAAGGCAACGAACAAACCAACTCGCTATTGCTCGCTGAACATATATGCCGAAGAAGACGGAGATCGATCGGACAAACCCTCACACCATCGCTCAAGTGGGAACCGAACGAGAAAAGACGACATGACACATTCCATGGTCACATACACACATATGCAGGCGATCACGTGAGGCAAAGCAAATAATGAAACCTCAAGATCAATTGTGTAGTCAGCTAATGAAAGACTCCAGAAAACGAAGATCTCCGGTTGAAGCACCACATTCCCACTCAGCAGTCAAGGGCATGATAATCACCATAAAAACATAACCATTTCCTACTTTAAATTATCACTTTCATTGATTTGTTAGTAAATAATAATAATAATAATAATAATAACCGCAGAGTTTAACAACTTACCACGCCGATCTGCTTCATCCTGGCTAATAATCTCACCACAATATTCGTAGATGAACTCATTCTTCTCGGCACCGTCTTTGATGAATATGCCCCAACTATGAAATATATGTGTGCACAAAAATTAAAACATTACATATGACGCTGTATATACTACTGATTCATTCATCGGCCGACATAAGTAGTGCTGGACAGCTACCTAGATAGCTAGCTAGCTGGCTAGCTAGCCAGTTGGACCAAGGTGATCCATCTAAATATACACAACGGACAACCATTTCTCTCGTTTTCTGCATCTAAGTTCATTATCGATGTACCTAGTATTCACTCAGCTCATAGGGAGTCGAATCATTTGAAACTATCGAAAGTCTCCATAGCTAGCTAGCTAGCCAGCCAGCCAGCCAGCCAACCAACTAACTAACTAACTAACTAAATAATCGGGAGAACAACTTGTAATACATTCAACTTACAAATGGCACATCTCATCTAAGCACAAACTACTAGTGTAACGCTGTCACTATTCTCTCTAGAGAGACAGAGAGTACAGTTCGGCGTCCAAAGCTATTCACCACAGTACAATGTATGAAAATCTTACAGTTTATATTTCACCGCCATATCCCATATTAACTTCATACTTGATTTTACAAATTCACCTACTTATCAATTCTAAAAATATCTACCTCTATTGTATTAAATTCTGTCTGGAAACCACGCAAAATATACACTCAGTAATTCTTATCAACATAGATATACACTGAATAATTTGAAACTGGACACCGAAGAGACCAATGGATAGTTTACACATCATCACTCTATATATATACACACACAAATACCCATCAATAGGCCTATAGAAGCGCTCAAAATCCCACTCATTTCTCACCAACAACTTCCACTTACAACCAAAGTAACACTAGAAGACTTCACATACCAACACTCCACCACCAATGCCTGACTTCTCTACATCACTTTAATTCCAGGGGAAAATAAACAAACAAACAAACTCAGGGTGCTGCCATGGGATCACCAATAGCACCCTACCCTATACTTGCATTCATAATTGAGGATAGGTTGGAAAACCTAGTCAATGAAACTTCCAGCACTTTCCACCTTCAAAGTGTGCTCGAGCTATGCACATCACACTTTTACAGTGCTTAACTAAACAGCAGTAGTGTGAGGCGATCTTTCAATCGAAGACTGAGACTTCATCGTCATCATCATCATCATCAACAACAACAACAACAACCAAAATTAAATTACACAATACAAACAACACTGACACTCTCTTACCCAGACACATCAGATGGCGCCATCAACAGATGCTTCCGCCAGCCTCTTTGTAACGCCACATTTCGACATGTACCGGTAACACGTGGTGAACTAATCGTTAACGCATTCAATAAATCCGTCATTGAAGAGAATGTTCCAAAAGAAGACTGTGCTCCACACGACACGCATATGTCAGGATCACATTCTCGAAAGGCCAAAAAGCAAGGACATAGTTTCGTATTACAGTGTCCACGGCAACGACATCCTGGAAACCTGAAGTAAGAAACCCAAAACAATATTTCAATTTTATACACACCTGACTCACTGACTGACTTATCCATTCAAAAAGAAACTGTAACAATTACTTCTTTACCATGACAACTCATCTTTTTTTCAACCCTAATTTATTATATCATCATCATCATCATCTCGTTCACCAACTATAATCGTTGATCTCTATTTTGCGTCATTTGTATGCAGCTGATAAAAGGTACCGACGAAATAAACCCTTACAGTGTGTGTCGATGATATTGCCTTGTACAATATTTCAAACTCCGTTCACACGTACACAATCTCACAAAGTTCGCGCTGCTTCAATAGCCGATCCTAAGGTTGGGAGTCGAGCTACCGATCCTAGACGAGAAAATCAACCCACTCAATACACAATCTTCAAAGCCAAATTAATAATAAAATTATTTTTCTTAGGAGTTGCAGAAACGGTATGACGCAAGTGGTGAAACCGTTCACAAATCCAGTCAGCTGATGTCTTCTCACAAAGAAGGCGAAAATCTTCTTACAATGTAACGAAGATCTGAATATGCTTACCAGGTTATCAAAGAAGTAGGGGCATATGGCATAGAAATGTTACGAATCTCTGTCAGAGCAGATGCAATCGAAGTGAACTCTCCACATTGTTAACTTCAGAGTCAACAATCTACTCCGGACATCTATACGACAACCACAGCACACTGAAGCAGTGGCTTTCATGAAGTCAATAACAGTATCTAAACCACTGGTACAGTTGGGCAACGTTTCCAGAGTGACATGGAAGACACCATATAGTAATGATGAGGAAACAAAAGCTTATGACCAGTGGGAGAGTCAGCTAAACAAACAAAGCACACGACAGGGTGAAATGTCCAGTTCATACGCCACACATGCAACCCTACTACCCTGTCTTCCACTCCGTATTCACAACGAATAAGAAGAAAGGAAGAAGAACAGTATTCTCTTCAAAATTCAAAAATTTAAAGTCTACAATCCACTACGCAACACTAGACTATGTACTACACTCCACTTACAGTTGACTAAAAACAATCCCATTAAAACAGCCACTCACCTATTCCTACAATCAGGTGGACATTGACAAAATTTTTCACAGAATGTTCCAGCCTTTTTACACAAACACGACTCATCACATCGTTGACCGGGATGATCACACGGGTGATAATGATGTGCCGAAGGTCCAACCGGTAGAACACTATTACCATGATGTTGAGAAGCACTCGTTTGTGAATTCTCATCCTCGTCTATATACCAGAAAAGAAAGAAAACAAAAACAAACAATAACCATGTAGTATCATTACTTTTCATTATTATCCCATTTGGGTTCCAAGTGGAATATGGTGAGTGGTGTTATTGAATTTTACCACCACCAGATAGGTGGGCTTGAAATAGCCGCCTCACGCCAAACCATCCATTCAACCGCCTCTTCACGCGCTTACTACCCACATCAGTAGTGATAAACAACTACGTGAGGTCTGACAATGCATCGATAGTCACGAATCGAACACCAGCCACCTCAGCATGACTGGTGAGCACTCTACTAATCAACCACCACTAGACACACAGATGCAGTAGCAAACACATGCCAATGACACAAGAGAAGTCATCGTAGTAATTGTTGTCACGAAAACCCCATGCCCTACACCACTACACCTCCACCCTATCCTCAGGAGGAATTCAAATGAGAAGCCACCTTTCGACCATCGTTCTCGAGGCAACAGCATTGAGCGGACCATGTCAGCAGAGCGTATACGCTTCTATGTAGTCCTCGAGTCACCTGAGAATGACAACGAAAGGCAGAGTACAATACGAATGGGCTGCCGCTGAAGCCCTATGCTCTGCTCTGTTCTGCTCTACTAGGGATGCAAGGAATGAGTATTAACAATAATAAGAATTTAATACACAACAACATACGTAAGCGAATTGAATTTTAGAATTTCCCGTCGATTGATTGGACCGAAGTGCTCGGTCTCAGGTTGACATGCTGGCTTCTTGTGCAGATACTTCGACGATGTCTGGGCATGTAATTAGAAGTTAATTAATTGGTGGATGGTGACTAGCAGTGGAATCCAGGATAAAGCGCATTTCGTCCAACTTGGGATTCGTCACTGGATGCAGGTACAAATGTCAACCTGAGACCGAGCACTTCGGTCCAATCAATCGACGAGAAAATCTAAAATTCAATTGAATAATCAATATGACCCGTTGCACAAGAGGTGGGTGGCCCTCGTGGCTCAAGTGGTCTAACGGATAACGTTTTGGCGTTGGAAACTATGGGCATTTGGTTCGAGTCCCGGTGGGAACACCATCACTCACTGGGGAATTGAATGTAGATGCATCCATGTGACGAGTCCCGAATAGGACGAAACGCGCATCCTGGATTCCACTGTTAGTAGTCACCACCCACCAATGAAATATCCTGTTTCTCTAATAAAAGCTCATCAGGCTTCAGTCCAATATATATCGTCGCTCATACATTAACAAATGATTACTATTGCATAACAATAATAATAATAATCCTATTAATGACAAGATGAACAAGTGGAATACTTTATGATAACAAGAGTAATCGAAAACACTAAACAAATCTTCACACCAACCTTGTAAAAGATAAAGCCTAACGAAAACAAATAGTAAGATTACATAGTGCTAGATTGTAAGGGACGGGGGGGCAGGAAATGCATTATGCTCTCATGAAGGTTCAATAAGAATAAGGATTGATATAAGATAGGCACGAATTTCGTCTGAATGCACACTTCAGGCCAATTAGTGATCAAATGGCATTGAGTGCCGATCATGGCTCGCAACATCAAAACACCTATCCTGTGAACACACACACACACAGTTAAACGACCAATCATTCTCTTAGGTGAACCATGTAAACACTCAAATTTATCTATTTACACACACACACACACTTTCTCTTCAGCATCATCGAAGTCAGTTCACAAGCACCAAATGAGGAACGACTTCAACCGCCACCGCCACCACCTGACCACTTACCTTCACGAGGAGTTGGTAACTTCAATACCATCCTTCTTCTAGCCTGTTTCTTGGCTCGTTTACGACGATATGTTGTTGCTGTTGGTACACCATTACAACTACTCGATTCATTCCCCACCAACAACGCTTCATCACAAAACTCTCCATTCCCTTGTACACTTCCATTGCATGATCCTGCTGATTCTGCACAATCATAACCATCCAACGATGCTGTACTAGCCGATCGTTGACTCCATTCTTCACCGGTACCCGGTACACGCAATGTACTCAATTGACCAGAATCTGGCTTTAGAAGAGTTGGAAGATCCTGTGTATTTGTATATGCCAACACCTAAATCATAATAATAATAATAATAACAGTAGCAGTATTATTAATTATGATAATTCAACATATGGATAAAAGAGGCAACACAAAGACAATATCACGATTTTATCAAGTCTTGCGATCACTTGGAATGAAACGTCCAACCTCCAGTGGATTTTAAGCCAACAGTCTCCTGGCTAACCAGTCAAAAAGTTACCATTCCACAACAAAGAAACCTATGAAATTTAAAAGTGTTGTGTTATCTATTCACTAGAAATCCGTAATACTTTTGTTCTTATTACTATTTTTTTATTATTGCCATCGTCAATATTCGTTACTTGCGTCCATGGAGAGAGACATACGGAGCCCTGTACTCTGAGCCCAGCCAGCTATCGATCGCATGTGGTATAGGAACTCTTCATTTCCTCCAGAGATCATCGTCAACGCCTATGTTAACCACGGCTGCGACACAAGCCCCATTCGGCTGTTCCAATTCTCCAGGTTTCACTACTCGACAGCCTACTTGGTGTTTCAAGTCAATTCATAGTCCCCTCAGCGTTTCTTTCATCCACCCATCCATCCATCCACATATTCATATGCGCATACACCGCCACCATATCTCCACAACGAAGACCACATCGCCAACCAGGGTGAAGGATAAGCACTAACAAGCACTTCTCGTAGCATACAAATGCTTCTGGCAACACGCCAAGTCTCCGAAGCATATAGGAGCACTGACTTAACACGTTACCTTCTCCGTGTTGTGTTCCGTAGATTCTCACAGTGACATTCCCAATGACCGATTCTTTTATTGCCTCTACATGCCAACTGGAACATAGGACAGCTTCGAGCTCTCAAAACTTCAGTAGCAGCTGTGTGTGTGTGCTTTTGTTGTCGCCGTCGTTTATACACCGTGGAATTGCTCCCTTCAACATCCATCGAATCTACTACTTTTCAGGGCTTACTGCTAGTCACGTCAAGACAGATGTCAAGACAGCAATCGATTGAGAATAGAACCCTAACTCCTCCACAGCGTGACTACTGACTGACTGACTGACTGAGCATTCATTCTACCATTCAACCAATGACGACGCAACGGCTTCATCACTATCATAAAATCAATGGAAATGACAACAGACAGAGCGAAGAAATGCATTCCTTTACAAATTAGCTCTGCATTGTCGGTTCAGTTTCACATCAAAATTTTGCTAATCACCTGATTGTTAGAAGTGAAATGAAAACGTGATCAACCCCTTTCTGCAGACTATTTCTACTTAACAAGAAGCTATTCCAATAAATATGTCATCCGAGCCAACATTACCTTCCAGCCTATTCACAAAACTATATTATAGTAGCCGCAGAACCCATCCATTCAGTGAGTAAACGCACACACACACACGTCAGTAACAACCACAGTCATAAAGTCAGTCAACATACTTTACAAGAAGAATCGAAAAAAGCCTATTCGAAAATGATCACACACATTTAACAGAAAACACTGAAGCATCAATAAACTCACATCACAACACTTTTTCGTTCCAAGTAATTTCGACAATCTACAGCACCAGTTGTATAAATTGTACGATGGATCTCCGTAAGGGATAAACAGTGGAGCCAACACTTCATATAGACATTTTTCATCATGACTCCATTCCACGTTGCTGGGTGCACGCGTTGCATCACATCTTTTATTAGTATTATTGTTATTCATTGAGTTCTGTCCAGCAGTGTCATTCACCGACTGGCGAACACACCATGAACCACAATATGGTCCATCCATTTCTAGAAATCACAGAGGTAGAGAAAAGGAGAAAGGAAAATATACACATCAAGTCTGAGGAGAAATATTCCCTCACAAAAATCAATTAATTATAGCATTCTTATGATTGATATTATTTCCATTATGGATTAATTTCAATGCAGATTTCTTCTTGTGATAATCACAGAGGGATTAGCTTGACTAATATAGTATCTAAAATCCTAGGCTCAATAATACTGCGTAGACTAAGTGGTGCTCGGGAGGCACAAACATGAGAAAACCAGGCAGGTTTTAGGCCAGGAAGAGGGTGTATTGATCATATCTTCACCCTTCGACAGATTCTAGAACATAGGCATTCTTACCGGCGTTCAACAACCGTTATATTTCTTGACCTAAAGGCGGAATTCGATTCTGTCGACCGAGAGGTTTTCTGGAGATGCTTGGCTGTAAAGGGAATGACGAGAAAATACATTGCACTGATTAAGGAACTCTACTCGTACTCATGCAGCCAGCCAGGTGAGGGCTTACGGCGAGTTGTCATCTGAAGTGGTGACAACTAGTGGCGTCCGCCAAGGAGGCCCATTATCCCCATTTCTATTCAATTTCATCATAAACGTACTAATGGACTTAACCCTAACATACTTCAGAGGCTCAGGGATTGACTTGCTACCAGGGAATAATCTCGTTGACTTAGAATATGCGGACGATATAGTCCTTCTAGGCGAGGACGCTGACAAAATACAGCAGAGTCTTCTGAAAACCTTGGGCAGCAATCTTCGTATGTTTGGCATGCGATTCACCCCTGTAAAATGTAAGGTGATGTTGCAGGATTGGACTACACCGACTCTTAGTTTAGAAATAGGAAGTGAAGTGGTAGAGAACGTTGACCGCTTCACTTTTTTGGGAAGTCGCATCAGCCAGTGCCAACGGGTCGATCTCTGACGAAATCTCACTACGAATACAGAGGGCTAGTTTTGCATATGCCAGTTTACGCCGTCTCTGGCGTAGACGTGATATCCGACTCGCTATCGACCAAAGGGCGTGTGTACTGCTCAGCAGTCCGCTCCGTCCTCCTTTATGCCTGTGATTGAGACCTGGCCATTGAGAGCAGAAGACATGAAAAGATTAGCTGTCTGTGATCATAGGTGTCTGCGTTCTATCTCCTGTGTGAAGTGCTATAATAAGTTGAGCAATATTGAGGTTAGGCATCAGGCGAGTGCTAGGTAAGGAGGGGAAATCAATCGATGAGACTGTGAAATTACATCGACTGAGATGGTTAGGACATGTGTTACGTATGCCTAATCATTGCCTTCCTCGACAGACGGGCAATGTTAGCTGATATAGGGTCAGGCTGGAAAAGAGCTAGCGGCGGTCAAACAAAAACATGGCACCAGTCAATGAAATCCACAACAGTTAGTCTACGCCATGTAGGAAGATGTAGACTTCCTGACTGGTTGGGGTCCTCGGGACGGTAAAAACCAATGGTTGGAAACAATTGGTGACATGGCTCAAAGTGATCGTTCTCAATGGCTAACGCACATGCATCCACTCCTTGTGACTTATGATTTCCAATAAAACTGTTTTGTTCTTCGTTATTACTATTCCTTTGTCTCACACCTCTGTTTACTGTCTATATTATGCATTTCTTCTACTTTCTGCTCTTGCTTTGTGTGCTACATAGAATGTGGCGACTTGAACTGACGCACATATGTGCAAACTTCTATGTCGAAAACCGACCGACCGATCAATGCAGATTTCGTCACCAATCGACACCAGTTAGAGGGAGTCATTGAAAACCGGGAAACACTCGACAGCTGTTTCGCCGTATTTCCAATCCTCCAGTAATTCCCACCCACAATCCCGACAAAGATCGAATCTGCAACCTTCGAGTTACCGCCACCATATCAATCACTCCGATAAACACTCTCACTGACTGAGTCGGAGTTCAACGACCTGTCAATTACCCTTACACAGCTTTATCCTCAACTAATGCCATCGGCGACTATCCATCCATCTAACCCTAAAATGGCAGGCGTATCGTATCCCACTGGTCACTCCTTCTCACTCCACAACAATTTCATGGCATTTATCCGGTAGGCATATGTCCGCTGCAGATATCTTGAGATATATTGACACTGCGGTTTTTTGTTGCGGTTTGCATCAATTTCATTATAACTATTATCCCCTCGGTTCTTCACGAGTGGAACACAGACGTTTACCCATCCGGTGCACAACTCTATTTCACTCTCATTCTCTCCAATCTTCTTCTATCAGCTCACTAACCCCACTACCAATCTCCATCAGCTTTCATTGCATCCACACCTCAAACCATCTCCTCCATCCATCTCACCTTCGGACGAACATCCCACCTTACTAGTTGCTCACCTCCCGTTTCATCCATTCCAGTTCCACCCGAGAGCATGCTTCATCTGTAACATCAATCAAACATCTCCTCCGACTATGTCCAATCCATCTGTCCCCATTTCCCTCTGCATACTTCTTGGCCGATAGGTTCTTCATTACCGTGTACGTTGACAGAATTCATTCTTGCTTAATTATCTATCTATCTTTCCCAGTCAGCCATTTCATATTCCCTATTGACGAATATAGTTTTGTTTAGAATTATGGCCACCTAAATAACAACTTGCAAATCCCTATGAAGGCGACGAGGAGCCACAACACACCTATGGCATGTGTGTGTGTGCGCGCGCGTATGTCTGAGGGACAGTGATAGTAACACCTACTGTTGCCCGAACCACTCTCGGTAGATGCAGTGATAGTTTAAACCCGTCACCCAGTTAGTTGGTGCACAGTCGACACCCTAAACCAATGAGCACCACAGATCCACTCACGAAGATAAAGAACCTGCGGTATATACATACACTCACATGTCGTTCATAAATCATACCCAATCTATAAATACACGACTCTCAAACTCAGCTCTTTTCATATCATTTAAAGCAAAATATTCGAATGAGAGGACGGAACAAACTAAGTAGCACAGAAGAAAATTCAGTGACACAAAGTAAACGGGAAGCTATCAAAATAAAAATGAAACCATCATCAGGTCAAACACGTATGCTGAATATATACACACATGCATATGCTGTCGTTGATGGTGATTGGTGCTTGTTGTTGTGTGTCTAGTGAGGCAGATTCTTTCTACTCGGTGGAAGGAGAAGGATTCAACATACTCCTTCTGAACAAAGAATTTCGGTTGATAACTTTCAATCGTAACTCCCCTACACCTATGCTTAGCAATCCAAGGCGTACCAATCCAAGGAATTCAAGTGACACCCTCGATAGAATTGTAGAGCTTGGATTTTTATCAGTCTTCTCCTCCACCTTATCTACTAGGCGTGTCAATATCTAGTTTCTGACTCACATACAAACTTCTCTTCCTAACCACCTTTGACAACCTTCAACAAGGCCACCGTGAGCTTCACGAGTCATTCTGCCTATGTAACTGCCTCCACGAGAACACTTCAATTTGTAAGTCCAGCACACTCGAGCGACCAAACCCGGCAGCCTACCTATCCTTCTCCTACCTGCATTCGAATTCCACAACTAAGGGGGGATTTCAAATATAGTCGTGCGGCAAGCAATCGTTTTAATATTCTTTTCCGCAGTTTCCATGCCAGTAATTCAGTGGCTGCATCTCCTTCGAACAGTAAGGTCAAACATAAACATTCTTTACTCCTGTACCCCTTCTACGCATTTCTCTCCGTCTCTTCTCATCATACAGACTTACATTCTACTAACCACATTAGTTTCAAATGTCCAGGATTAACGTCTTATTAAGGAAACACAAATCCTGAGATGAGCGACTACCGAAAACACGCACTTCCTTAGATTGTGAATGGTGATGTACACACACACAGAGTTTCGGCAGGTGGAGCAGGGACAGGGTGGTTGGTTAGCCGTAGAGGAGCAGTAATTCAAATGACATTTAAAAATCGAATTTATCACTAACCGACATTCGTTTTTCCATTTACCGGCCAACGATGGCTCCACATCGACGGCGTAGACTTATACGGATGTAGGCAACAATCATACTTGAAACACCGACGACAAAACAATGTCCGATAGGAGTGTAAAGCATCACCTCGTGAAAGGTTTTTATGTCGACCACTGATCACCGCATTGTGCACCTCAAAGGGATTGTCTAGATTTGGACAAGGCATCGGCGTCTCCTCATTTGACTACAACACAAGAAATAACACATTTTATTGATCCAAACGCACACACACACACACACAAATTATTGGCAAAACTTACACAGATGTAATCAATGAAGAAAAAACACTAGAACCCCGTAATTTCCTACCTCCCTCAAACACCGATTAAACAAATAAACAATATTGCAAATGAAATAAAATAGACAATGTTGAAGCATAATATCCATCCACTCTATTTCCTTGGCTCCCAACAGCTGCAAACAACCCCCCATAACATCCAATAAAACGAGTTATAATACAATTTAGACAAACATTTCCTGCATCATCAATGACTGTCGTAAGAAACACTGATGATTGCGTAACGAGGGATATTAAAATACAATCACTGGAATTCACAACATTCCAGAATCAAAATCTCCTGTGTACGAAATTAAATGAAATGATGATGAAATACAGTGATGAGTAGAATTCAAAGGATAAGCGTGTAAAACCTTCTCATACCTACCACCCAGTTACACACACGTTCTAGTGTAAACAAGGTGGAACTTCAACTGTGGTGAGAGCTGTCTACTAGCCAAATTGGTAGACAGTAATTTACGTCAATGTTTACGTCCTCAATATTGGTCGTGAGAAAAATAAGAACAAAGACTGATTCAACAACCAACCACAGCAGACTTTGCGTAGGCGGATACAGTTAGCACATAGATGATGATCTGACATTCAAGAAACAGCCACAAAGAGACGAAAGATTAACTTTCAGTGAGAAACAACCAATCAGAAGACTGTGTTTGTTTGCTTAACTAATCTGTAATAATGTACATGAAAATCTATAAATATGTGTTGATTTCCTTTATAAACGATCTCTTGCCTGACCTTTGTCTTCTGTTGTTACACAACTACAAACCAACTGATTTAGAGTAGAGTGCTAACACCAATCACCAAGCAGTCTTCCAACTCAGGACATGCATGAACAACATTGTTTAATGGTGACTCCCTCTCCGACGTCTTTCCAAGTAGACATTTCATTACCATACACTGGATGGCATTTTCAACGTTGATTTTCACTACAACTTTGTAGTGAATATCTCTTCTTACAAAAGAATTAGTCAAGCCAACTCCACATGCAAACACACACGTATATATATATATATATATAAATAAGCAAAGACTATCATCGGTCACCATTGGTTAATTACACATACCTGAGAATTATCTGCACGTCTTTTCGTTTCTATATACCTCTCTTTAAGTTTGTTTGCATCGTCTCCTGACCCAAATGTTCCAGCTATAGCCTGTGAAGAAAGGACAAAAGCAACAACAACAACAACAAAAGTCACTCAACACCACAGAAATATACAACAACAAACAGCATTCAAACTGTAACAACTTCCGTGTCACCCTATATTAACCACCTTAAGGCTTTCATTAACACTTCCGCAGGCGAGGATAAAGGCAGTCGCAGGGTGTCAACGTTAGCCGATCTAGTAGTAGTAGTATTTAACAAAACACCACAACAGATATCATCACAGCTGCAGAAAATAAAATTCGATGAAGCATCTCTAAGCCAGACAAACAGTAACATCAAATACGACTACAGAATTCCCTCTAACCAACCACATAATCAAACACGCGAGGTAGTTCCAATCGTAATTCACCCAATCTATGCCTGCCTCTCTTACACACAATCACAAGTAAGCAAAAAACAAGCAAACAAAAGGACAAAGGCGGCGGTAAATTCATCTTACTAATAACTTGTATACTCATCCGTTAAATAATATACAAACTCAAAAGTGTTATGTTACTGATGTGTACATCAGTTGGACGAAAGTCGGTGCATATATGCCAATTCCATACTGATAACAATGCACAAATATCAAGCAAACAAACAAGATTTAAACTTTCAGGATGATTTACCTCTGAGATGTCTCACAAACTGGAATTCCCACACTTGTCATCAAAAGTATTTCAAACAGGCCACTGCAGACTTTCATTAACAGACGCCTTCGTCCCATCCTAAAGGCTAGATGGCCCACCACAAAGCATAAGCAACAAGCGACTTTACCAGAACACTAAACAACAATAACAACAAACATGTGACAGCAAATGGACCAGATGGATCGGATATACGCTGTGGAGACCATTCAGGGGAATTACGCTCCAGACACACACCCTCCAGTGAATGCAATGCAGAACGTGCCTTTCCCCCTAATTTACCACTCGTCACAGCTAGTAAGTACATTAAAGGCAATCTTGGTGATTCCACCAAGACGACTGTTCTTCTTTTCCACCCAATTATGCCGGTCAACTGCTTATGAAAACATCCAACAATTTTACTATCGAAGAAAATAACTAACGTTCAGAAAGGAAACATGAAACGATGGCACTGGTCAATAAACTACAGTCATGGTCAAGCCAACACCAATATTCAGAGTACACCGTGAGTGACGGGAAGTCACCTCACCAGACTTCATGGTCACTTCACTAACAGAATTCAGTCACCACCAACACAAACGTCCTGCACGCATCACAATCTATCCTCCATCAACAGACCTACAAGTCAGTCGTCAATAGAGATACTAGCTCAGTGGTAACATTTCTCACTCCACCCACTACTACTGATCGACTCAAGTCTCAATCTCCCAACGGACAGCAGTCCGTCACTTCACGATTCACAACCACTGCAGTCCCAACAAACAACTACACAACCTACGTGTCCATACATGCCTACCATCTACTAACATCAATTCCAAGTAATTCTATAAACAGAAAACAAATAGGTTAAAATAATTACAAAAGTCTTTTAATAAGCAACTCACGACAAACACTTCATAAGGAATCCCACAATCCTTAACACGTTTTGCTTCAGGTGAACTCAAACTCGAATCTCCTTCAGACGATTCAGTAATTCCTAACACTTCATTCACAGTAAGAATAATCCCTTCACTACCATTCCTCCGTTCATTGTCAACACCACTCGTAGTCGCCTAGAAGAAGAAGAAGAAGAAGAAGTAATTACACAACTTGGTATCATTATTAGTCATTGATGCATGTATTACACAACAGACACAATCATATCTAACAATATGTAGAATATTTTTCTGTTGTCTGTCGATGTAAATCAGAGGCGGAAAATAATTTATGGATGAAATTCACTGCATGCTATCCTAATCTTAACTTCATAGTAGAACACGAGGAAAACCACCATGCCATCACATTCCAAGATGTTTCTCTGCTGAGAACGATTGATGACACAATCGAAAGATGAATACTTAGAAAGTCTGCATCGACAGGATAGGACAGGATATACACCTTAACAACTTCCTTCCCATCCAGTATGAAAACAACCTATTCAAAACATTGTTCAATACAGTACGGAATATATTCACTCTCATAGGACAATCGAAAGTCAAATGAAAACCCTGGGACCGGGCACTTCGGTCCAATCAGTCGACGGGAAAATATAAAATTCAATTAAATAACCAATATGACCCGTTGCACAACAGGTCGGTGGCTCTCGTGGCCCAAGTGGTCTGTCTAGTGGATAACGCTTTGGCGTTTGAAACTTTGAGCACTGGGTTCGAGTCTCGGTGAGAACATCCCCACTCACTGGGAAATGCAGGTACATTCACTGACGAATCCCAAATAGGACGAAATGCGCGTTATCCTGGATTCCACTGCTAGTCACCATCCACAAATTAAATTCTAATTAAACGCCCAGACATCGTCGAAGCACCTGCACAAGAAGCCGACATGTCAACCTGAGATCGAGCACTTGGGTCCAATCAATCGACGGGAAAACCTAAAATTCAATTTTAAAAAACCCTAAAGAATAGTCTACCTAAGAATCGATATCCCCCTCAGAGGTCACCCAGTAAGTATTCCAAACATATAGGAACCAGTAAAAATATCCAAACTGTTTCAAAGGAAGCCGTATATCTATCAGTCTACTATTTAGGGGGGAGGCGATCTACAAGAGGTATTTCAACGAGGACAGACTCAATAAGGGTATTATAGCACAACTAATTTGGCTGCAAAACTCCTATCCTTTAACATAGCCAAGCTAGTGGGGGAAGACAGGTTGCCAATGCTCCGCACTCTCAACTGCATACATCGATCTCGGTGTGATTGTGGAAACAAATAAATAAGTCTTATGGAGAGACGACTGTCTATTCACGTGATGGAAAATTCACCCGAATAGTTAGAAAAGCTGAAGTCAGAGTACGAATAAGGTCAATAACAAAGCATCTTATATACACTACACTACTCGGTCAAGTCATTCACTGCTGTCACCAGACAAACAAACGGAAGGAAGCTACTTTGCAAATCCAGTAGGCTTGGATGTAAGACCTCTTTACAGCCACAAATTGCAGGGAATTAAAGAAACAAAGCAGAACTTTGTACTCGAATGTATCAATAGTCAAATCTTGGTGCTACTAAGACATCTAGCTTGTGACACCTGAATTTAATATCCGAATATACGACAAACAGGTAGCCAGTTTAGGACTTTTATCGTCATTCACGATACAACACAATTGAAGGAGATGGTTACGGAAACTCTAAGAACAACAGTTTTACTCCCATGACTCTTGAGTATAGACCCTCGACTTCCAACAACTTCTACACGACCTCAAACCCCAACTGACACTAGGTCTCAGGAAACAAAACCAGTCCGCACACAATAGGTCTGGCTCATTCACACTGGACGAAAGTATCACCACAGAGAGTATCAACTGGAAAACAAACTTATCTAGCACTGAATGGTTTACACCATCATCGAAAGAGTATTCCACTAATGTCTGTCCAAGCAAGTTCGCTGACAACACCGTCAGCTAAGAATGATGAAACCAAAAACTCCCTCACAGTACACTATATATATTGTTCTTGTACACAATCATACACGAGATGTGCAGTCCTATAATAGTAATGTTATACGACTAGCTAAGTCATGCAACACTGTGGTAACATATCCTCAAGTTATTCGCATGACGAAAGATGAAGACCCCATCGGCTATGCATTTTATATGTGGTCAAGAGTAGAGGCATGAGACCACTAACTTACTGAGAAACAGTGAGTAGAATCACTTTCCCCCCATTCTTCCATTTACTACCACATATCGTTGTCAATGTTTTCAATTTTTCATACGTTCATATTAATAGCATTGCCACTAATACTACTTTAGATATCACATGCTTCTGCGATTATTTTGTAACTTAATTAATATGCATCGTGAAGACAGAACATTAGGCGCAATATTCGATAACATCCCAAACTTTATCAGAAATAATGTGTGGAATACAGCCATTGCTACCATTGTTATTATTACTGACGGGCTATTTCACTCACTTGTCTGTCACCGGCAACGAGCTCTTCTTCACCAAACAGTGTGGCCAGTTTCACTCAGTTTACAGGGATAAACAGTTAAACACACAAAGAGCAATACTCTACAATACAACAAACTGGCTTACCTGATCATGACCGTCAACATTAGCACGATCACCAACACTGCAATTAATTCCCACTTGTGAAGACTGATGGGA